GGTAATCACTGAATGGAAGTTTTCCTGTATGTGAAGGTGATCACTGAATGGAAGTGTTTCTGTCTGAAGGTAATGACTGGATGGAAGTGTTTCTCTGTGTTCAGGTAATCACTGGGTGGAATTGTTTATAATGTATGTGAAGGTAATCACTTGGTGGAACTGTTCCTGTATGTGAAGGTAATCACTGAATGGAAGTGTTACTGTGTGCGAAGGTAATCAGTGGGTGGAAGTGTTCCTATATATGAAGGTAATCACTGGATGGAAGTGTTACTGTGTGTGAAGGTAATCACTGGATGGAAGTGTTCCTGTGTGTGAAGGTAGTCACTGGGTGGAAGTGTTTCTGTCTGTGAAGGTCATCACTGATTGGAAGTGTTTCTGTCTGAAGGCAATCAATGGGCGGAAGTGTTTCGTCTGAAGGTAAATCACTGCGGAAGTGGTACTGTGTGAAGGTAATCACTTGGTCGAAGTGTTTATAATGTATATTAAGCTGCACTTGGGTGGAAGTGTTCCTGTATGTGAAGGTAATCACTGGGGGGAAGTGTTTCTGTCTGAAGGTAATCACTTGGTGGAAGTGTTTCTTTGTGTAACGGTAATCACAGGTTGGAAGAGTTCCTGTGTGTTAAGGTAATCACTGAATGGAAGTGTTCCTGAAGAAAATCGTGTTTGGAAATTAATTTAATAGTTTGTGCAGTGATAGGTACCGGCAGTCATTATACTGTCTTTTACAAATACACACTGCCGGTTCAGGTATGAGAATTACTGTGTAATGTGATGCAGAATATAATTGCACGTTTGGACGCATTTTGAATTTTATCAAATGTGACACTATAAATAATATATAAACGGAAACATGTAAATGAGAATGACATAACATTGCCTAAAATAAAAGTTATTTCAAAAGTTAGAAAAATAATTATGTATGAAATTTGATGTGCACAGTGAACTTACTCATTTTTGCTTTTTTTAAAAACCCGAAGTTCCCACACCTGATATTGAAAATTAAAGAATGGTTGATTACTCTCTAGCCTCTGAATGTCACGGAAGCACGTTATTTCGACATAAACTACGTGTACGTCATGGCGCGGCTTACAGAAAATCAATATCTCCAGGCCGTGGGTATGCTGGAGACTGGAATGGCCCAAAATAAATGGCCAGACATTTTGGTGTCATAGAAACAGGATCGCATCTCTTTGAAGACGTTTTCAACACAATGGGAACACCAGATACAGTACACCCAGAAATTATTGAGAATTAAAGATTGTAATTTTGTTATTGTTTTCACTCATTACTCACGTATTAAATGTGAATATTAGCAGAACATAACTCCAGATTCAAAGACAGGTGAACAGTTAGTATTTTCTTAAGTCACCATGGGCAGCAATGCAGGCTTCAATGCGGCGTACTACTGACCAAAGAAGTTAGAAAGTCGTGGTCCATGCTGTCCCAATATCGGACCACCTCTTCTTTCATTTCAGCAATATTTGTCAGATTTGTCTTATTGACACTTTCCTTCATAAGTCCCCAAACATTTTCTATTGGATTTAGGTCAGGGCTATAGCTTGGCCAATCTAATAATGTCATATTTTGGGTCCGAAACCAGGCCTGTGAATGCTTTGAACGAAGTTTTGGGTCGTTGTCCTGCTGGAAAATCAAAACATTTCCATAGAACACGTGAGCAGATGGAAGTAAATGTCCCTCGAGTATATCTGTAAATGTCCCTCGAGTATACTGTTCATATTCCCTTCAAGTACACAGAGGGGCGTTGCCCCTAACACAGATCTAGATATGCCACCCCACACGTTAAATTTCGGACTGTACTTACAAAGGTGTTTCAGTTTGTTTGGTCCAGAATTTGAATGTATTAGGAAACAGCCACACAGAACTTTCACCTGAGAAAATCACATTGTCCCAGTTAAAAATTCTTTGCTGTAAGCACCAGTTCAACCTTCGCTCCTTTTGTTCAGGTTTCATGATCAGTGATGGAATTCCTCGACTTTTCTGCCAACCCATTGCATGCAGCTCAGTTCTAATTGTCTCCTTACAGACAGCCACAGTTCCTCTATCAATCATATCCAGCCTTAAGTTTTCCAAACTCCTTCGTTTGCTTTTAGAAACAAGAATACCAAGCCGCCTTCCTGCGCCTCCCTGGTGCTCATTGCCATATCCATTTGCAATATTTTTCAAAACACGATAAACAGTGGACAAACGGATGCCTGTTCTATTTGAAATCACTTTAGTTGATAAGATGTACTTGTTATAACACTCTAAAATCAACTTCCTCTTCTCTAAATCATCCATACTGAGGATCACTGAAAATGTCGTCTGCTAGCAAGTAAACAAAGGGGGGTAACTCTTCACAAAACTAATGAAAAAGGATTAACGTTTTTGTCTCTCTTGAATGAAACCAAGCACTTGATAGCTGGTCAAGGTTGTTTGTACTAGAAATCCAATTAAACCTATTCCTAAAATTCTCAATAATTTCTGGTCATACTATAGTTACCTCGGACCGGCCCGGCCGTCAACGCGTGAGGTCAGCAAGACAACCACATTCGGCTGACCCATCCAGATTGACTGCTCTGACCATTCCTGACTTACGTCCAATCAGTTCCAGGACTCTTAGGAACCGACTGAAGGAGCACAACATCCGGCCCCGATGGTTTTCAATCCGTCCAATTTTGCTCCAACGTCACCGACAGGCACGTCTTGCCTTGTGCAGACAGCATATACAGTACAGTAGACAAGATCGGAATGGTGCTTTGTTCACTCACATTCCGGTACTCCCCTGGCCAGCTATTTCTCCGGACCTGTCCCCTGTCGAGCACGCGTGGGGTCACATGGAGCAACGTTTACGTCAAGCCCAGAATCAGCCATTGCCCTTAGCTGAAATGGGATAAGCGTTGGTTCAGACATGGAACAACATTTCCTGAACTTTCTTCAATTGCTTCGTGTCGTCTGTGCGTCGTCGTTATCAATGGTGTACACACACGATACTGAATTTGTGAACTGACTTTTGACACCACATCTCTTCAAGAACAGTGATTAAGGAAAATACCACAAGTCATGTTATCTTTTTTCATTATAAATTAATTAATTAATGTTAAAATGTGTATAGCGCCTGAATCCAAGGTTTGCTCTAAGGCGCTTGGTCGAATGCTCTGTGGAAAAGAACTGTTTTTAGTTCTTTTTTGAATGGAATTATGTCTGACAAGTTTTTCAAGTTTTCAGGTAGTTGGTTCCATAACAGAGGACCTGCTTTGGCGAAAGCTCTATCGCCATAACTCGCTCTGCGGGTAGAGGTCGCTACTGCTTGTTTTAAAGAGGCTGATCTCAGGGTTCGTGATGGCTGATACCATGACACTAGTTCAGTCAGGTATTCTGGAGCTTGGTTGTGAAGGGCCTTGTGCACAAACACCAACGCCTTGAAGACAATTCTTTGTCTGATTGGCAGGCAATGCAGTGTACGTAATGTTGGCGTTATGTGTTCATATTTGCCTGCACCAGTGATGAGTCTTGCTGCTGCATTTTGTACTGTCATGGTGAGTTTGTTGAGAGTTTGCTCCGATACGCCAAACATCAGGGAGTTGCAATAGTCCAATCGTGAGATAACCAGTGCTTGGACTAATGACTGGATAGCTGATCTGTCAATGAAGTGCTTGATTTGGCTGATGTTTCTCAGATGGAAAAAGGCGGATTTACAGACAGTGTCTGCATGCCGATCCATACTCAGGGAGGTGTCAAAGATAACTCCGAGGTTTCGAGCTTGATCACTTGGTGATATTGTGCTGTCTCCTATCTTTAAGGTTGGGAAATCCATTTTCCCTGATAGAGACCTTGGCCTCAGGATCAAAAGTTCTGTCTTGTCATTGTTCAACTTCAGATAGTTGGTAGACATCCAACATCTTATGTCGTCGATAGCTTTACTCATTAATGCAAATGTCGACTCAGCAGATGATATTTGCAGAGGCTTGAAGCCTAGGTACAACTGTGCCTCGTCTGCATAAAGGTGAAACGATAGGTTATGCCGTCTTGCAATGTCCCCTACGGGCAGTGTATATACAGTAAACAAGACAGGTCCCAGGACCGAGCCTTGTGGAACTCCGTATCTAAGTTTATGCCTTTGTGATTTACATCCATCTATTGTCACTGACTGGTAGCGGCCAGAAAGAAAGGATTGAAACCAGTCCAAAGCTGTACTGATGATTCCAATCCTTGATTCCAGTAACAGAAGCAGTATGGAATGATCAATAGTGTCAAAAGCAGCAGATTGATCTAATAAAACCAGTATTGCAGCACCCTCTGAATCCACAGCATTTAGTAAGTCATTCTGAACTCGTAAAAGCGCCGATGTCTGCGCTTGTAGGCAGATTGCATTGCTTCACCCAAGTTGTTGTGTTCCATGTGATCGCTGAGCCTTGATGCGACTACTCTTTCAATGACCTTGGACAAGAATGGCAGATTGGATACTGGGCGGTAATGTTTTAGATTCTCTGGATCCAAGTTTGGCTTTTTCAGTAAAGGAGTGATGAGAGCGTGCTTCAATTCCGAAGGAAAGACACCCATTGACAGAGACTGATTCACAATCCGGGTAATAACTGGCACTACCTGAGCCATGCAGGTTTTCAGCAGCCAAGTGGGGAGTGGGTCCAAGGAACAGGATTTTGTCGGCGACTTAAGAATAACTTTGGATATTTCATCCTCACTTGTTAGGTTAAATGTTGTGAGAGGTTGTATCACAATCTGTGATTCATTGGCGCTGGAACCACTGTGAAGGGCATGTTTAACAGCAATTTCAAGTGAAGATCTGATGGTTATAATTTCATCATTAAAATATGCACAAATGGCACAACAGGAAATAACGCACATTCACTTTATTCCAGTGGTATATTATATCATATTGTATTGCATTGCAGAAACACACTTCAAATAATGCTATACATTGTGTTATATTATATTGTATTTTGTTTGCACAAACTTCAATACCTTATGTATACTGTATTTAGATACAAGCCCACCGGTGTTTGCCAACTGTGACGGTGACAGGAACATCACCATCTACAAGATGCAGGTACCAAACATCACCATCCCCTCCGTTCAAGACAACTCTGGCTTTGTTAGCATGAAAGGTTTTATCCTTCCGCGTGGCTTCAATCCAGCGGACCCAGTGTTGAGGAACACAGAAGTAACGTATGAAGCCACGGATGGTGCTGGTCGAAGATCCCAGTGCAAGTTCCAGATCAATGTCACAGGTAGGTGACAGTGTGTCCTCTAATAGACACAATCTCCTCAGTACAGTGTGTCCTCTTATAGACACAATCTCCTCAGTACAGTGTGTCCTGTTACAGACACAAACTCCGCAGTACAGTGTGTACTGTTACAGACACAATCTCCTCAGTACAGTGTGTTTGTTCAGTTATCATACCCTCACACGCACATACTCGTCCTCACACACACACTGTTTTTAAAATCGAAAGGTATGACCACGCACATACATTCACGTGAAAACAATGAACTTTCGAGCACACATGTTCACATAATACACCAACACTCACAGATAAATACACAGTTACTCACACACGCACACGCACACGCACACGCACGCACTCACAGCGAACACCAGCTACTAAATGTGTTTTCGCATAGTATTACGCTGATATGTACAATAACAGTAGATATTAGTGTTATCTTATCAACTTATAGTTAAACAATAAAATTAAAGAAATACGAAATATAAAAACAACAAAAAACTTAAAGTGTAGGGTTCTTCTGTTTGTTTATGAAAATGTCCTATGACTTATCAGAAATGGGCTCCATGACCCTGGACTGTCATCATATAACATACAATGTGACATCAACGACACCCACCACTTACAACATCGCCGACCAGATCGCCCACAGCAGCGGAGCACTGACCTCTTCCCCCACAACCAACGTCAGTTTGTCCAATGTGGGCACGTTCAATGACTACAGAGTCACAGTGCGCAACGACCAGGGATTTGAAAAGACTTGCGCCTTCCAAGTTCTGATCAAAGGTAAACTCCCTTCTTTCTAACTTTTGTGCTTTACCCCGACAAAACGATGATAACTGTTAACCTATTTATGTGTGATGAGGGGGTTGTTGAAAGGGATTATTCAGATTATTCCCGTTCGTAATACAGTCTTGCAGATGGGTGCTCTGTCACTCTGATTCTCTATGCACAGGTCTAGATATAGATCAGACAGTTTCGCTTATGTTGGTTTAGACAGTAAATCTGGGAATGGCCACTTAACCCTTATTGTTATGGAATAATTCCTGTCACAGGCAGTTTGAGTTTAAACCTAAGAATTCCAAAGACTATCTCTTTGATTATGGCCCTGAACATGTTCATTATAGCAGAAACAATATACATACAGTTATACACATCAAATCGTGAAATACAATTCTTATTAAATTAACCTTTTGTTGAATTTTCGAGTGTTTTTATACGAACACAAATAATAGTCTGCTGAGGACATTTTTTACATAGTCTCGGCACTTATGTTGATGCTTTTGGACAAATGTGCAAAACACATTTACTGCTCGCTCATGTTGTTTAAGCTGCAAAATGTTTCCACGAGCTGACCAACAGTCTACAGAACGCTGACGTTCATCGCTCCAGCAACAACGACAACAGCATCCTCTCCTCTGTCGTCACCTGCACAAATGGTCACGCCTTTCACGACGGCTCCACAAGTCGTACATACAACTGTTCGGGAGAGAATCTCTGGTCACCATCTTTACCTCTCGAGGACTGTTTACGTAGGTGGACGGTTGCCAATGTAATCTTTATGGTACATGTACTACCACTTGCAGGTTGCTGGTTGACACTGACAAGGCGTTATAACGCATATAACTAGTATGACTTTCCCAAGTCTCTCCTAATCTCCCCTACTGTCAGCACCTCTCTCTCTCTTTCTCTAACACTGTCTCTCACTCTTCTTTAGATAGATAGATAGATAAAGCGGTTTTACAAGGAGAAATATCTGGACTCATTTTATACTCTTCAAAGAAAGTTGGGGAACTTCATTTTTAATTTAGGATTGTAAAAATGTGGATATGATTATAATGAATGTTTTGAGAGTGCATCACCACTTGCACTTCTTTATGGGCATCCTTGTTTGTACAGTAATCACTCTTGAAAGAGAAATGGTCTGTCTTTGAAAAGTTTGTTAGCGCTCATCCTTCCTATCTAAAATAAAAATATTAGTCTCCGCTACTTTTTTTGAAGAGTATATATTAATATACGTTGTGTACATGTACTCTGTGAAGCCTGCCACATCCTGTGTACATGTACATATTTCAACTGTTTGTACACATTGGTACCACAGCCTCCTCCATCACCGAGTACACGTACAAGGTCAGCCTACACCTGAAGTCCAGGGACCTGGTGAACGCGACCAGTGCATGCCGCAGTGACTTAGCAAAACTTTACAACGATGTGATATCCCCCAATGCATCCGGCATCAACAATCTGTGTCCGATTCAGGGAAAACTGAACGCCAGATACCGCTTCAGTGTCGCCGAGGCCATCTTTGTTGGTGTTCCCGCTCTCTTTGATAACATATGTACACTTGTCTGTAGCTTTGTTCTGTACACAAGTATTGAGTATTGCCAGAGTATTTCCAGGCAATTCCATAAACGTGGTTGAAACGAATTCATCTATTTCATTTTGTCATGAATAACCGGTACCTCTTTTAACTTAGCTCTCAGTTTTGAAACTTTGTATCAATATTCATATTTGCACTGGTATTGTCGAACCCTATGTTCCTTTCAGCATAAGGTGGAACTTACGCTTAAACTGGAAAATTACGATGGGAAGAACACGGGTCCTGAACTTTGCGCCGGCAATATCAACCTACAGAAGACAGTGTTGTTTGGGCTGGGACCCGGAGAATGTACCTTCACTGTGCAGGACAGTTCCACAGGTGTTAATCTCACACGGTCCGGACAATCCTGTAGTGTCGGGTACCAGCTGAGAGACGTCGGAGGAAGCAAGAAGTGTCGTAAGTTGTCTGCTTGAGTGGGTTTAAGTGTGTTGTCAGCTTGCTCTGTCAAGAAGTGTCGTAAGTTGTCTGCTTGAGTTGGTTTAAGTGTGTTGTCAGCTTGCTCTGTCAAGAAGTGTCGTAAGTTGTCTGCTTGAGTGGGTTTAATTGTGTTGTCAGCTTGCTCTGTCAAGAAGTGTCGTAAGTTGTCTGCTTGAGTGGGTTTAAGTGTGTTGTCAGCTTGCTCTGTCAAGAAGTGTCGTAAGTTGTCTGCTTGAGTGGGTTTAAGTGTGTGTTGTCAGCTTGCTCTGTCAAGAAATGTCGTAAGTTGTCTGCTTGAGTGGGTTTAAGTGTGTTGTCAGCTTGCTCTGTCAAGAAGTTTCGTAAGTTGTCTGCTTGAGTGGATTTAAGTGTGTTGTCAGCTTGCTCTGTCAAGAAGTGTCGTAGGTTGTCTGCTTGAGTGGGTTTAAGTGTGTTGTCAGCTTGCTTTGTCAAGAAGTATCGTAAGTTGTCTGCTTAAGTGGGTTTAAGTGTGTTGTCAGCCTGCTCTGTCAAGAAGTGTCGTGAGTTGTCTGCTTGAGTGGGTTTAAGGGTGTTGTCAGCTTGCTCTGTCAAGAAGTGTCGTAAGTTGTCTGCTTGAGTGGATTTAAGTATGTTGTCAGCTTGCTCTGTCAAGAAGTGTCAATAAGTTGTCTGCTTTGAGTGGGTTTAAGTGTGTTGTCAGCTTGCTCTGTCAAGAAGTGTCGTAAGTTGTCTGCTTGAGTGGGTATTTAAGTGTGTTGTCAGCTTGCTCTGTCAAGAAGTGTCGTAAGTTGTCTGCTTGAGTGGGTTTAAGCGTGTTGTCAGCCTGCTCTGTCAAGAAGTGTCGTAAGTTGTCTGCTTGAGTGGGTTTAAGCGTGTTGCCAGCCTGCTCTGTCAAGAAGTGTCGTAAGTTGTCTGCTTGAGTGGGTTTAAGTGTGTTGTCAGCTTGCTCTGTCAAGAAGTGTCGTACGTTGTCTGCTTGAGTGGGTTTAAGTGTGTTGTCAGCCTGCTCTGTCAAGAAGTGTCGTGAGTTGTCTGCTTGAGTGGGTTTAAGTGTGTTGTCAGCTTGCTCTGTCAAGAAGTGTCGTAAGTTGTCTGCTTGAGTGGGTTTTAAGTGTGTTGTCAGCTTGCTCTGTCAAGTATCATCGTAAGTTAATCTGCTTGAGTGGGTTTATGTGTGTTGTCAGCTTGCTCTGTCAAGAAGTGTCGTAAAGATTGTCTGCTTGAGTGGGTTTAAGTGTGTTGTCAGCTTGCTCTGTCAAGAAGTGTCGAGTTGTCTGCTTGAGTGAGTTTAAGTGTGTTGTCAACTTGCTCTGTCAAGAAGTGTCGTAAGTTATTCAGCTTGAGTGGGTTTAAGTGTGTTGTCAGCCTGCTCATCAAGAAGTTTCGTAAGTTGTCTGCTTGAGTGGATTTAAGCATGTTGTCAGCTTGCTCTGTCAAGAAGTGTCGTAAGTTGTCTGCTTGAGTGGGTTTAAGTGTGTTGTCAGCTTGCTCTGTCAAGAAGTGTCGTAAGTTGTCTGCTTGAGTGGGTTTAAGTGTGTTGTCAGCTTGCTCTGTCAAGAAGTGTCGTAAGTTGTCTGCTTGAGTGGGTTTAAGCGTGTTGTCAGCCTGCTCTGTCAAGAAGTGTCGTAAGTTGTCTGCTTGAGTGGGTTTAAGCGTGTTGCCAGCCTGCTCTGTCAAGAAGTGTCGTAAGTTGTCTGCTTGAGTGGGTTTAAGTGTGTTGTCAGCTTGCTCTGTCAAGAAGAATCGTACGTTGTCTGCTTGAGGTGGGTTTTAAGTGTGTTGTCAGCCTGCTCTGTCAAGAAGTGTCGTGAGTTGTCTGCTTGAGTGGGTTTAAGTGTGTTGTCAGCTTGCTCTATGTCAAGAAGTGTCGTAAGTTGTCTGCTTGAGTGGGTTTAAGCGTGTTGTCAGCTTGCTCTGTCAAGAAGTATCGTAAGTTGTCTGCTTGAGTGGGTTTATGTGTGTGTTGTCAGCTTGCTCCAGTCAAGAAGTGTCGTAAGTTGTCTGTGAGTGGAAGTGGGTTTAAGTGTGTTGTCAGCTTGCTCTGTCAAGAAGTGTCGTAAGTTGTCTCCCTTGAGTGGGTTTAAGTGTGTTGTCAGCTTGCTCTGTCAAGAAGTGTCGTAAGTTGTCTGCTTGAGTGGGTTTAAAGTGTGTTGTCAGCTTGCTCAGTCAAGAAGTGTCGTAGGTTGTCTGCTTGAGAGTGGGTTTAAGTGTGTTGTCAGCTTGCTCTGTAAGAAGTGTCGTAAGTTGTCTGCTTGAGTGGGTTTAAGTGTGTTGTCAGCTTGCTCTGTCAAGAAGTGTCGTAGGTTGTCTCGCTTGAGTGCGTTTAAGTGTGTTGTCAGCTTGCTCTGTCAAGAAGTGTCGTAAGTTGTCCGCTTGAGGGTTTAAGCGTGTTGTCAGCCTGCTCTGTCAAGAAGTGTCGTAAAGTTGTCTGCTTGAGTGGGTTTAAGCGTGTTGCCAGCCTGCTCTGTCAAGAGTGGTCGTAGTTGTCTGCTTGAGTGGGTTTAAGCGTGTTGTCAGCTTGCTCTGTCAAGAAGTATCGTACGTTGTCTGCTTGAGTGGGTTTAAGTGTGTTGTCAGCCTGCTCTGTCAAGAAGTGTCGTGAGTTGTCTGCTTGAGTGGGTTTAAGTGTGTTGTCAGCTTGCTCTGTCAAGAAGTGTCGTAAGTTGTCTGCTTGAGTGGGTTTAAGTGTGTTGTCAGCTTGCTCTGTCAAGAAGTATCGTAAGTTGTCTGCTTGAGTGGGTTTAAGTGTGTTGTCAGCTTGCTCAGTCAAGAAGTGTCGTAAGTTGTCTGCTTGAGTGGGTTTAAGTGTGTTGTCAGCTTGCTCTGTCAAGAAGTGTCGTAAGTTGTCTGCTTGAGTGGGTTTAAGTGTGTTGTCAGCTTGCTCTGTCAAGAAGTGTCGTAAGTTGTCTGCTTGAGTGGGTTTAAGTGTGTGTTGTCAGCTTGCTCAGTCAAAGAAGTCGTAGGTTGTCTGCTTGAGTGGGTTTGAAGTGTGTTGTCAGCTTGCTCTGTCAAGAAGTGTCGTAAGTTGTCTGCTTGAGTGGGTTTAAGTGTGTTGTCAGCTTGCTCTGTCAAGAAGTGTCGTACGTTGTCTGCTTGAGTGGGTTTAAGTGTGTTGTCAGCTTGCTCAGTCAAGAAGTGTCGTAGGTTGTCTGTTTGAGTGGGTTTATGGTGTGTTGTCAGCTTGCTCAGTCAAGAAGTGTCGTAGGTTGTCTGCTTGAGTGGGTTTAAGTGTGTTGTCAGCTTGCTCAGTCAAGAAGTGTCGTAGGTTGTCTGCTTGAGTGGGTTTAAGTGTGTTGTCAGCTTGCTCTGTCAAGAAGTGTCGTAAGTTGTCTGCTTGAGTGGGTTTATGTGTGTTGTCAGCTTGCTCAGTCAAGAAGTGTCGTAAGTTGTCTGCTTGAGTGGGTTTAAGTGTGTTGTCAGCTTGCTCTGTCAAGAAGTGTCGTAAGTTGTCTGCTTGAGTGGGTTTAAGTGTGTTGTCAGCTTGCTCTGTCAAGAAGTGTCGTAAGTTGTCTGCTTGAGTGGGTTTAAGTGTGTTGTCAGCTTGCTCAGACAAGAAGTGTCGTAGGTTGTCTGCTTGAGTGGGTTTAAGTGTGTTGTCAGCTTGCTCTGTCAAGAAGTGTCGTAAGTTGTCTGCTTGAGTGGGTTTAAGTGTGTTGTCAGCTTGCTCTGTCAAGAAGTGTCGTACGTTGTCTGCTTGAGTGGGTTTAAGTGTGTTGTCAGCTTGCTCTGTCAAGAAGTGTCGTAGGTTGTCTGCTTGAGTGGGTTTAAGTGTGTTGTCAGCTTGCTCAGTCAAGAAGTGTCGTAGGTTGTCTGCTTGAGTGGGTTTAAGTGTGTTGTCAGCTTGCTCAGTCAAGAAGTGTCGTAGGTTGTCTGCTTGAGTGGGTTTAAGTGTGTTGTCAGCTTGCTCTGTCAAGAAGTGTCGTAGGTTGTCTGCTTGAGTGGGTTTAAGTGTGTTGTCAGCTTGCTCTGTCTGCCTTCTGTTTACGTACTTCCATCAGTTGTGCCGTGAAGGAAACGGGTAGACGTTCAAGTATAAATCATACTTTCAATCTACCAACAGCAAACCACACAAATACTCTATCCTGGTGTATCTAAAGATTGATTGTTACGTAACTACGGAGACCTTAACAATGTGTTGCTTGACGCGGCGAGTTGATACAGCTGTATACAGCATACATAACATGTGATGTTTGGTATTACACTTTCTCAGTAAAGTACAGAGTGCAGTACCTTTTGAGGTTTGGGTATCGTCCTGGACTCAAGCCAACACTTTCAGATTGAGGTCTAATCGCCAGCATACAAAGTCAGTGAACTAACCACCTAAATGACAGTCTGACAATTGAAAACAAGAGCCGTGTAAATTTACATTGTCAGAGTTATACACGCGATCTAGACTACTAGTTGAATACAATATCTAGATGAAATGTCTCAAGTCAAGCATGGAGAGACACGTGAAGAATATATCAAGCGTTGGGTTATCTAAGTAGACATGTCATCACTGTCTGTGTGTTATTGCGTGTAGTGGTGATCTGTCGCATCTCCATCAGATACCGCGAGTGAATGTATATAGCCACCATCTATGTTCGGATGTCGCAGTACTTTACCTGTATATCTATGTTCACACAGGGTGACACATGTCTACGTGTCACGATGGGCCAACAAACAGCATGAAACCAAAATTCAGTGAAACCACCTGTCATTATCAGCGTATCTGAAAATAGGGAAAACGTCAGAAAACGAGATAAATTCTTTACCCAAAAGGATCCAACTGTTAGCATCGCGGGTGACGCAGTGGTGCAACCACGACGGTCACATCAGCTCGCGGTAGTGTCTGGACGGTTGCCAAGGGATGATTGTTCCACTCTCCAGAAAGAGCATTGCTGAGTTCTTGTCAGCAGCTCGTTCCACGTGCGTTGGATAGAGTGATCAAGCATTGATCCACTGTGTGGACTATGGTCATCTGTTCTAAGTAGACATCAATAACCATGACAAGATTTGGTCGTGTGTTATCTTCAGTTTGGATGTCGTCCAGTCCGATTGCACCTGCACACGGTGACACGCACAGAATGTCATCCCTGTAACATAATCCTACTGACCCCACCTTTAACCATCATCGCTGCTGTCTTTCAACAGATATGTATGTACGTTTCAGTACTGCGCTGCTGTCTTGCAACAGATATCTCTGTGTGTTTCAGTACCATGTCCCCACGGATACTCGTCGTCCCCCAGTCGAGGTTGTGTTGAGTGCCCTGACGGTCAGTATCAGGACCAGCCCGGACAACCCTCCTGCAAGAGCTGTGGCAGCAACATGTACTCACTGACCCCACGGACCAGCAGAGCAAGATGTGTCAGTGAGTGCGATGTTCACCTGCTTGTATTTGAAAGAATACACAACTATTGAAACTACCTGCCGTGCTGGTGCTTCAGGTGTGAATGTGTTGTTATGTTAACACTGCGGACTGTGTTGTTTCAGATAAGTGTCGTCCTGGGTTCTTTTCTGCAACAGGGCAGCAGCCATGTGATGAGTGCCGAGAAGATACGTACTGGGTGAACGCCACTCATTGCCTACCATGTCCAGATGGAGGCTCCACCCTGTATGTAGAGGGCACCACCAGCATATCAGCGTGCAGAGGTAAGGTGTATTATTCTTATAGATACAGAGACGATGTGGTTGTGTCAGATGTAGAGCCTGTGTGGTTGTGTCATATGTAGAGACTGTGTGGTTGTGTCAGATGTAGAGACTGTGGTTGTGTCAGGTGTAGAGACTGTGTGGTTGTGTCAGGTGTAGAGACTGTGTGGTTGTGTCACATGTAGAGAATGTGTGGTTGTTTCAGAAGTAGAGGCTGTGTGGTTGTGTCAGATGTAGAGACTGTGTGGTTGTGCCACATGTAGATACTGTGTGGTTGTGTCAGATGTAGAGACTGTGGTTGTGTTAGATGAAGGGACTGCATGGTTGTGTCACATGTAGATACTGTGTGGTTGTGTCACATGTAGAGACTGTGTGGTTGTTTCAGAAGTAGAGACTGTGTGGTTGTGTCAGATGTAGAGACTGTGTGGTTGTGTCAGATGTAGAGACTGTGTGGTTGTTTCAGATGTAGAGACTGTGTGGTTGTGTCAGATGTAGAGAATGTGTGGTTGTTTCAGAAGTAGAGACTGTGTGGTTGTGTCAGATGTAGAGACTGTGTGGTTGTGTCACATGTAGATACTGTGTGGTTGTGTCAGATGTAGAGACTGTGGTTGTGTTAGATGAAGGGACTGCATGGTTGTGTCACATGTAGATACTGTGTGGTTGTGTCACATGTAGAGACTGTGTGGTTGTTTCAGAAGTAGAGACTGTGTGGTTGTGTCAGATGTAGAGACTGTGTGGTTGTGTCAGATGTAGAGAATGTGTGGTTGTTTCAGATGTAGAGACTGTGTGGTTGTGTCAGATGTAGAGAATGTGTGGTTGTTTCAGAAGTAGAGACTGTGTGGTTGTGTCAGATGTAGAGACTGTGTGGTTGTGTCACATGTAGATACTGTGTGGTTGTGTCAGATGTAGAGACTGTGGTTGTGTTAGATGAAGTGACTGCATGGTTGTGTCACATGTAGAGACTGTGTGGTTGTTTCAGAAGTAGAGACTGTGTGGTTGTGTCAGATGTAGAGACTGTGTGGTTGTTTCAGATGTAAAGACTGTGTGGTTGTGTCAGATGTAGAGACTGTGGTTGTGTCTGGTGTAGACACAGTGGTTGTGTCAGATGTAGAGAATGTGGTTGGGTTTGATGTAGATACTGTGTGGTTGTGTCAGATGTAGAGACTGTGTGGTTATATGAGATGTAGAGGCTGTGTGATTGTGTCAGATGTAGGGACTGCGTGGTTGTGTCAGATGTAGAGACTGTGTGGTTGTGTCAGATGTAGAGACTGTGGTTGTGTTAGATGAAGGGACTGCGTGGTTGTGTGAGACTGTGGTTATATCAAATGTAGAGACTGTGTGGTTGTGTCAGATGTAGAGACTGTATGGTTACATCAGATGTAGGGACTGCGTGGTTGTGTCAGATGTAGAGACTGTGTGGTTGTGTCAGACGTTGGGACTGTGTGGTTGTGTCAAATGTAGAGGCTTTGTGGATGTATGCGACGTAGAGAATTTAATAATAATAATAGTGGGTATTTATTTCTGCGCCTGTATCCGTGCCTTTAATGCTCGCTCAAGGCACTACAAAAAGGTAAATCTATGTACAATGTATACATTGCACTTCAAATAGAATGGAAAGCTATGGAGAAGTAATGGGTTTTTAGGAGGGACTTGAAAGAGTTAAGTGATTCGGCAAATTATAAAGCAGGATGCTGGGCACTATAAAGAGGCGTTGGGTTATCTTATTCTAGCGTTAAGTCGGGCTTGGGGAAATTAGCGTAGGAAACGAAATATGATTTAGGCTGTAATTATGGGGTAATGTTATTATTTTTTATTATTACAGGATATTTATATAGCGCACATATCCACGGAAATAGTTTATGCTCAAGGCGCTGGTATATTTCACCCTCGATCCCTGGATATCAATCTCAACGGGCTCATCGTATTTTCAATCTCAACTCCCCGGGGAGCATACAACTCTTGCAACCACTAGGCGCACCGAGTTATAGAGGCTTTCACATCCTAGCGAGGTACCCATTCACAGCTGGGTGGACTTGGACACATAGTCACAGTACTTTGTCCACGTTTACTTCACGTTGCTGTACCCTCAACTAGGTGTTTGCACGTATTCATGTGGCCACCATCTGGTCATTTACCAACGGATTCGTGGGTTCTTTTAAGTGCGCAGCAGGGTTGTGTACTGTACACTAGGGGGATAATGTTCGGTTAAGAAGGCTTGGTTTGGGTGGTGTTATAAGAGATGTTTAAGGAATTGATGTATCCGAAAGACTGAATGTGTGCCAGTAATGGAATTGTGGGTGGTATTTACAAATTGTGGAGTTTTTGTTTCTATTTTTCTACGTATTTCTTTGAAATAAACTATTATTGTTGCTCAGTTTGTCTATGTTATTTCCCAATAGGCGTTATGCCCGATTGAAGGACTGGTAACTGAGTTTTGAGTTGCGAGCAAGTCAACACAAACGCACCTTGTAAAATAAAAGTACACAACGACTGACTGAGTTTAGTTTTACGCCGCTTTTAGCAATATTCCAGCAATATCACGGCGGGGGACACCAGAAATGGGCTTAACACATTGTGCCCATGAGGGGAATCGAACCCGGGCCTTCGGCGTGACGAGCCAACGCTTTGACCACTAGGCTACCCCACCGCCCCAGTACACAACGAAAAGTCCACGAAAGGTTGATTTAACATCTTGTACCTACGTCACACGTTAGTTTAACTCAGCTGTCCCTGGGCGTCTGTAGTTGCTCAGAACCACGCCTGTTATATTGTGTTACATAACATACAGGGTGTGAAACACAAGCATAACCCACCCAATCCTCACCCAACCCAATTATCTGACATGAATGAACGTGAGATTGTTTTGCCGGTGTGACAAACATACCTCGAAACGATATCTGCTCTTTGCATATTTTATCATCATCACTTGTGCCACTATTTGTTATTCGTCTGTCCCAGCACCGTGTCCCAGTGGTCAGTACTCCGTGACTGGCTACGCTCCCTGTACACCGTGTCCTCGCCATTTTTTACCAAGACTCCACAGCACAGACACGGTGTAAGGAGTGCGACACAGACCAGATCACAGAACAGACAGGCTCAAAGACACTTAGTGACTGTAAACCCGGAAGTAAGTCAACTCTTTCCTTCAAAGAAGATTTGCTAGAGGATGTGACACAAACTAATGCTAAACTATATATAAAGACTAGTATGCTGAATACAACTGTGATTCTTTCTTCATCTACTGAGAAGGTAAGAAATGGCAACATCGTATTACGATTATTTGAATAGCGGATATATACTGTATAACTTTTTCGAGATCTTTCGTTCCTTTAATACAGTTAATTGTTCGAAAAAGTTAAAATTGTTGAGTCTGCCCTGGGCTATATACAACACATACATTTGAAATTGTGTCGCAAATGGTAACGTCAGATTTACATTATATATGCTTTTCACATTTCTTCTTTCATAGCGCTGACACATACAAGAACGCATGTTTAAAAGTGATATTTTGCTTGTGGATGACAACTGAGTTTAAATGTGTTTTATGGTAGTTTAAACATTACTGGTTATTTTGTCTATGTGCCATCAATTTCACTACCACGACGCTTCGTTGCATGTCATTATATGTAGCCTTCTTTATCTTGGTAATTCCTTAATTAATGTAAATTCTGGTCTAACTTGCAGACACAACAATTTGCTCAGAAGCGTGTTCTCAAAATGGCAGGGACAACTGTACTTATATCTACCATAGACTGGTGTGTTCCTGTCAACAAGGTGAGTTTTTCTTGTATGTTCCATAGACGAGTGTTCCTGAAAACGAAGTGACTTGTTCATGTGTGTTTCTTGGATGATGATGTATACTATAATAGGAGTGTCCCCTAACTAGCACAGTACTGCACACAGCCACGTTAGGTAAACCTCGCGTACAGATATGATATATAGAGAATACCACACGAGGTATCATTACATACGAACTATACTAAACGAGTGTCCTTCCTATGGTATCTGACCGAGCGAAAGCGTATGTAATGAGACCGAGTGTGGTATTTTATTTATTACCCACGTCTTATGTGCATGAAATTGGCAAAATAGCGTATTTTTGTTACTGTTATGGTTTCAGACCGAAACCGGTTTCATAAAGAGGTAGCGAAAGAAGTTTGTACTGTAGTACATTTTTGCATGACGTCACACTGTATTGACGTCACTACGCCATTCTCGTCTGTTCTTTTGGTAACCGACGTCACGATGCATGTCAGTTGTCATCGACTCTCGTACAGCCTCCTACATTAAACTTGGTTTGCAACTGCTGGTGGAAACATTGCGTTTATGTTTTTCGACGGATATAATGTCTCAGTTCGACTAAACAGCGACACGGCAACGTTCGCAATGTTTACATTCCCACAATGCATATAAGTTGTAGAATGAATTAATTCACGTGTTGGTTATGAATTTGTAACCGGGTTGTGATGGGTAAGAATGACGTCCAAACACAGGCTACGGGTGTGAGGTTATATTTGCAGTTAGAGAGGTAACTACACCCTGCAATACACAAAACAATAACATAAGGTAATATCATAAAAACATGATGCATCTTTCACATGCGAGTAACTTACAAGTACACATTCACATTCGCATATAAATATCTTTGTTAATGAGGCATAAAATCATTGTCTTGATTACATAAAGAATTCATCAAGGGCGATAACTCTATGTATGGGTACTATGAACATGGATCATTGTTATAAAGTACATTACATGTTCTCAATACAATAATTAATTATCACTTTGTGGTATCAATGATACAGATGACAATCAGTGATACATATCTGTCATAATATATTATTTACAATATATACAGAGCGTAATAATTAATATGCAAATTATCCGTACCCTGTGGGTGACACTGGGGTGTTAATGCTCCTGGGCAGCCGCCTCAATTGTACAGTGACAGTGTTAACCTATACAGGAACACATGAATGCTAATATATAGCTAGCATATATACAAAGAAACCCAATGCATAAAACGTGTCACTCTGGAGACGTGAAACATATGAAATGGCTGAACACTGAGAGAAGTGTGTCACATTGCAAATAATTATCATAACAAATTAAAGAAGATAAGGCATTCACTCACTGAACATTCACATAGAAAGATTAGAACATGTCAGAATATTTAGCCCCACTGATTTAGTGACCATGGTGACATGATACAATTAAAAATATTAAAGGTGTTGAAATATGATAAACATAGCTTAGACTACCTATATTATATGCATATACAATAGCTAGCAATAATATATAATACTAGCCTTAAACAATGAAAATTGTCTATTCCAATTTGTCAAACATCGGACCAGTCTGTAAATCAGTGTCTTGTCAAGTGCAAGATGGATGAAAAAGTGTACAGTTTAAACCGTCCAATGAAAACAAGGCTTCGGTTAGAACAAAGAGGAGACAATGACTTAAACGTGGACTAAGCTAAAACCCCTTACCTTTATAGACTGCTCCAAAAGCATGGTAAGGAGAAGTTGAAAACTAATGTCCTAACCACTTTAAAATACTAGAACATAAACACCTGAATTAGATAAAACTAGTCAAAACAAATTACAACGTGACCTAACTGAGAGGCCATCGGTCATCCAATCAAATCGTTAGAATCTCAGGTCAAGTCGTTACGACACAGGTCAACGCGATACGACACTCGTGTTACGTACGACCACGTGGGTAATACAGTTAAGATATCCACCACTAACTGGTGGTTAACAGGTAAAGTACTTCATGTCCTAGCAGAAACGCGCACCAGATACACATTGTTCACAAAATACCTGCCAGTCAGTGATATCTGACTATGGTGTTGAAGTAGAGTCAGCTGTGGATAACTATTGACTATTTCAGAAACACAGGGTATCAACCAAGTGATGGCGATAAACGTGGGCGGTCAGAAATGGGTACTGTATTGTGTTGACTTTAAGAAAGAGAACTATGCAGTGTGTCCTCGTTGGTCACATATGTGCATGCAGACCACACCTGTGCATACACCGACGTTCTGTATTGGGACATACTTCCATGGACGAAACTATAAGTTGTTCACTGGTCTCGAGGGGGACATGGGCTGATGTGCCTGTCATGTTTTACCAATCATTTCCCGCATATGAGTCCTAATGCCACATGTAACCAGGGGAGATAACTCTCATGAAAACGTATGCCCAGAGCACATGGCCAGAACTGAGTGGTGTGTCATGTATTGGATTGAATCCCGGAAAGCTATAAGCTGTAACTGACAACGTGTTCACATTGGCGACGAGGAGAACATTCCTAGAGTCAAAGAAGACGGGTGATGGCTGAATTAAGTGATATTAGAGGTATAAAACCCTTAGACACATCTGGTGATGCAAGCACTGTAAGTGTGAAGTGGAAAAGTTGGTTGGAGGAATTCAACGCTTATGCAGACAGTAAGGCATTGTTTGTTGAAGAAGGTAAAGCTCTGAGGCGTGCACTTCTCTTATATACAGCTGGAGTTGAATTAAGAGACATTTTTAAAACTCTGGCAGGTGTTAATGATGTGACAAATTATTTTGCTGCTCAAGCTGATTTGAATAAACACTTCATTGGCAAGACAATTGTCACACATGAGAGACATGTATTACGTAAAATGAAACAGGGTGAGGAAACTGTTGCACAGTTTGTAACCAAGCTACGAAGGGCAGCTGAAGGGTGTGAGTATGGTGATGTAGATGATCAAATCAGAGAACAAGTTGTTGAACATTGTAAATCCGACCAGATGTGGAGAAATTCCTTGAAAAGGCTGATTCACTGACACTTGCGACAACTTTAAAATAGCTGCAACTTTTGAAGCTGTTGAATTTCAAAGGCAAGAAATGAAACTAAAAGAAAACAGTAAAATTGTAAACAGAATTTAACAAAATGAAAAACAAGATTTTCAATCGCCAAGAAACCAAAACAGGTGTACCAACAAAGGTGGATATGCATATTACAGGTGAGGAAATGTTGGACATTATGGAAGTGATGCATCTTGTCCAGCCAGAGGGAAGCAGTGTACAAAATGTCATGGTTGGAACCACTTTCCAGTAAAATGTCACACAGATATTAGGGGAAGAAGACAGAAAAATGGTAAAAGTAAGGAACACAAGAAAACTAGAAGAAGAAAAAAACCCGCATCAGGTAGAAGCAGAAGACACAGACAGCGACAGCAGTGGATATGCTTTCACAGTACAGACTATGAGTAAAGACAAAACCAGTGGCGCAACCAGCCAGACGTATTGCTTTTGGCCTGAGGAAAAAAGTTGAAGCAAAATGCAGGGAATTGATGGAGAAAGACATCATTGAAGCAGTGGAGGAGCCGAGTCAATGGGTAAATCCTGTTGTAGTTGTCCCAAAGGCATCTGCAGAAATCAGACTTTGTTTGGACATGAGACTTGCTAACATGGCGATACTTAGAGAGAGACATTCAATCCCGACAATAGAGGAAGTTCTCCAAGGCATGAGCCAAGAAGGATATTCTCAAAACTAGACTTCAATTGGGGGCATCATCAGTTAGAGCTACATCCAGATTCAAGAAACATCACAACATTTGTGACACATTGTGGACTTTTCTGCTACAAGCGTTTGCTTTTCAGCATAAATGCCGCAACAGAGATATATCAACATGAGATACAGAAGGTCCTACAGGGAATACCTGGAGTTGTGAATATCTCTGACGCTATTGTGGTTTATGGCCGTACAGCTGAGGAACATGATGAACGACTAAAACAAGTGTTAGACAGACTGGAGTTGGCAAATCTAACACTGAATACTGAGAAGTGTCGTTTCAAGAAAACAAGCATTACATTCATGGGCTCATCAACTGACTGATAAGGGGATAAACCTTACTCAGGAGAAAGTGGAAGCAATTACAAATGCGAGAGAACCAGAGAATGCCACAGAAGTAAGGAGCTTCCTTCGACTGGTCAATTTTTGCTTACGGTTCGTACCGGACTACTCAACCATTGCGGAACCGCTGAGGCAATTGACTCAGAAGAATCAACCATTCATCTTTGGTGAAGCTCAGCAGTCTGTGTTCAAGATGTTGAAAGAAAGCTTAACAAGTGGTGAGACCCTTGGATACTACAACCCAGAGGCTAAAACACAAGTGATTGCGGATGCAAGCCCAGCAGGACTGGGTGCGGTCCTTGTTCAAGAACATGTTTGAATATGGAAAGTTATCAGCTATGCCAGCAGAAGTCTCAAAGATGTTGATAGAAGATATTCCCACACGGAGAAAGAGGCGCTTGGTCTCGTGTGGGCATGTGAAAAGTTCCATCCATATGTCTACGGACTCAAGTTTGATCTAGTCACGGATCATAAACCTCTTGAGGCAATCTACGCTCCACGATCTAAGCCTTGTGCAAGAATAGAAAGATGTGTGCTCAGGTTACAATCTTATGAATCAAGGTGAAGTACACGCCAGGAACAAACAACATAGCAGACTCTCTATCAAGGCTTCTACCTAACAATAAGAAGATGTCATCAAAACTAGCTTACAAAGCTGAACAGTATGTGAGATTTGTGGCAGTGTCATCTACACCAGCGCCGTCACTACACATGAAGTTGAAGAAGTGTTGTCAGAACATTGAATGTAATGAGTGGACAGATAGTGACATGAAACCGTATGCATTAGTTAGAAATGAGCTGTGTGTTGTCGGAAAGCTCATTCTTAGAGGGACTCGGGTAGTGATTCCAAGAAAGCTGAGGCCCAGAGTGTTGTCATTAGCTCACGAGGGACATCTGGGAGTGGTTAACACTAAGCAGAATCTGAGATCTAAAGTCTGGTGGCCAGGGATAGACAAGGAGGGACAAAAACACTGCAAGAAATGGCATGGGTGCCAACTCGTAAGTCCCCCAAATCAACCTGAGCCGGTGAGAAGTACCACATTACCTTCCAGACCATGGGAAGATCTAGCTGTCGATTTTCTGAACCTTTACCATCTGGAGAATCCATATTCGTTGTAATCGACTACTACAGTCGGTACTATGAACTGGAGATAATGAAGTCAACAACAGCGGAGAAGACTGTGTCAGCTCTAAACATTATATTCTCTCGACAGGGTCTGCCAGTGTCATTGTCTTCTGACAATGGACCACAGTTTGTGTCTGAAATCTTTGCCAGGGACATGAAAGAAACAGGAAAAATGCCCCATAGGGTCACACCAAGATGGCTTCACTGTTAAAACGAATGAGAATTGGGCAAGCCACAGGGGGTGACTGGAGAGGCGCATTACTCACATACGCTATGCCGTATAGGGCCACAAATTGGAAAAGCCCTGCCGGTCGGAAATGCGAACGAAGATTCCAGAGATGATACCTGAAGTGATGGACCAGGAAGTTCGAGACAGCGGGCGGTGCAGAGTTCAAAGGAAAGGCAAAATGACATGCCGACAGAGCTCGCAAGGCAGTAAAGTCTGACATCACGCCAGGCAATAGTGTCTTGCTTAGGAAAGAGCAACCCGGAAAACTTGAAACACCATTCATACCTACACCATACCAAGTTGTGTCCAAGTCAGGCTCCAAGGGCACGGTTCAGTCACCAACTGGTAAGCAGTTTGAACGTAACACATCTCACATGAGACGTTACTATACAGAAGAAGAAGAAGTTCAGGAGTAGGATGAACCAGAAGTGTGTGAGACCACAAAGACATGTGACCAACCCACTGAGTGCCAATGAGACAATCACTAACCTGCCTCGACTTGTGCGAACAAAAACATTGCCAAAACGCTTTCAGGACTTTGTACTGTAAGGCAAAGACATTTGAGTAAATATAGTCAGCTCAGAATTATCTGTATTACCCTTCCAGTAATTATAGTATGGGTTGTAGAATAGATGCTATACTAGTTTGCGTGAAAGTTTCGAATCAGATGTTTTCGTTTCAGTGTGTTAGATTTTGTGTCAATCCAAATCTGACCTTTAATTTAGTGATGCAGCATTTATTGGTTGAGATTATACAATTAGTCAGTCAGCTTAGTTCTATTATAGTTATAGTGTTATAGGACAGATAATATTTATATTAATTGGCAACTATCATAAGTCAACAGTGTAACACCAGTCAGTATGTGTATAACCTGCTCAACAACGTAGGTGCGATAGTAAATGGACTTAAATTCCAGAAGGAGGAATGCCATGTATTACCCATCCTTTTCCGCTTATGAATCCTAATGTCAGATGTAACCAGGGGAGATAACTCTCATTAGAAACGTATGCCTAGAGCACATGGCCAGAAGTGAGTGTTGAGTCATGTATTGGATTGAATTCCGGAAAGCTATAAACTGTAACTGACAAAGTGACCGCAGTGCCCTCGATGTTTGTTTATCTCCTTCGGGCTCAGGGAACATAAACAAACATCGAGGGTACTGTTATGTATGTGAATATGAACTAACACGTATAGCGTGTAACGAGTTGTCTCCCTTAGTCTGCGCATGTCCATACAACGTTTCCTGTAATAAACTTGTCTCGTACCTGCCACCCGAGTGTTCGGTAATGTTGTGATAGCTCTCGCTTATAAAATTACATTCCTGTTGGAACCCGAGCCTGGGGACACTTAAGGTACATCAACCCAGGGGGCCCCGAGGGACCAGTAAAAAACGTATTTATCTCACCGAACTCCTCAATGGTAATTTTGAACTGTTTGAAGCACGGGTATCGGATCAGAATATGGAGTCCAAGACGACAAGAAAAACAAATTTAGAGTTATCTCCCTTCCATCGATTTGCATTCGCAAAACATCGGTAATTTCCGTACATCATACGTGATTCAATGTTATTCGAGATATAGAGGATACTATATGAGTGCCCACGCATACTATGTTTACGACACGAGTGCCTAAATGTTGGTATTTCCCGAGCGAGAGCGAGGGATATACCGATATTTAGAGCAGGAGTGTCGTCAAATGCGGAAAATAACCCAAATCTACTTTCAAACATAGGCTGTCTACACGCCGTCGCAGCATGTAGGACGCAACGTCACAGAAGCAGCATAACGCCATAGCATTGATCATGACCATAGATTTGGGTTATTTTCCTCAATTTGACGACTTCGGTAATAAACAGAATATTATATTCGTGCCCATATAATATTATGTTTACGATCATCGTGCCTATATATTGGTATATCCCTCGCTTTAGCTCGGGAAATACCAACATTTAGGCACTCGTGTCGTAAACATAGTATGAAAAGGGCACTCATATAATATCGTGTATTTACTACAACGAAGTACCAAATGAGTTCGGCATTCCCAGCGGGGTACATAGAAAATGTTACTCGCTTGTAAGCGGGGTTCATTGAAAATAATAGAAGAGCGCTCAGCCAATCAGAAAACGACACTTATGTGTGAGAAAAGATAAATGTACATACACCCAGGATACAAATCCGTGCTCATTTTCAGGCTATACCGGGGACAGGTGTGAGACTCAGATCGACTACTGCATGTCTAACCCCTGTCTGAATGGAGCTACCTGTAAACCCAAACTTGGGGGATTTGACTGCCAATGTACTGCTGGTAGGTGATCAGTATACAGTAGTTATTGTACCACATGCATCTATATTTATGTTTGCAGTGTCAGTGTTAGGATTAGTTTCTACAGAGGTCATATTACCTGGCGTGTAAAAAGCAAGATCTGAATTCTGATATCCATAGAGTACAACCTCCAGCTAAACATGCACCATGCATATAGTCATAGCAAGACGATCAGGTTGTAGTGTTACTGTCAATAAAACATTTACTGAAATACCGCGACCTCAACATGTGACATGGAGTAACAGTGAAAAAAGACAACTTTAACACAGATATATGTTAACTTCAAGATGACATTTATTCAACTGCATAATGGAATGTTTATATTTCAGCCAGGGAATGCAACATGTTGGAGAACCTAGTTCTCTACAATCCAGGTGTTGACCATATAAAACGTGTGCGCAATTCCTCATTTTCCAACTGCAGTAATGAATGCATCAGTAACCCAGACTGTGTCGCTATGGCTGTCTTCACCAACAACTACTGTGTTTTACTCAATGAAGAACAGGCTAGCAAGAAAAGTACAGATGGTCAAACCGAACGATACTATGAGAAAGAGTGCGAAACAAAGCCATGTATGTATCAAATATATGTTAACTTATTCACTGTCCACTTTGATTATGTGTAATACAAGTGGAACTCAACAACACAAATGAAACAGGTACCTTTGCCAGATATTTATATGCTAACATACAGCCGTACGACAACAGGTAATATACACAGTCAGTCGTATGACAACTCGGATTGTAGGCAATATGGAAGTGGTTTGATTGTGTGTACCGATGTTTCCCACAGACTTCAGCGGCAAGTACTGCCAGACCGATCTGAGGGATGACTGCTCAACCAATGACTGCCGTGACTACAGCGTGTGCCGGGATCTGATTGGTAGTTACCAGTGTGTGTGTCCCTCTGGCGGCCAGTACACACAACCACGGTAGGTCACTTGTAACAGGAGTGTCTGTGTGCCCTTACACTATAATCAAGTACAACGAACCTCCAGTTGCTGACAGAGCCTCCCATCAGACGTGCAATCAGTGGTTTAGTTTCAGTTCAATACACACACGCATGCAAGCACATACGTGTTCACATAAACGAGACCATCTACTTTAGATATATTGTTTAAACTTGAAAATACATGTCAGACAGGTAAAACTATGTAACCAGAGTGTGTTAATACAATCATCATTTGTGACGACCAAGGGTGACAACTTTGACCTTTGTTCTTGCGCCTTCTTTCACTACTGTATCGGGCGACAATTATATATACATATAAGAGGTTTAAGAACCTTTGAGTCAACTATGTGTGCAGACTCTATCAGTGTTGTCACAACCCCTAGTGTACAGTACACAACCCTGTGCACTTAAAAGAACCCACGAATCCGTTTGTAAATGAATATGTGCCAATACGTAGTTGCGGGTACAGCAACGTGCAGTAAAACATGGACAAAGTACTGTGGCTATGTGTCCCAGTCCACCCAGCTGTGAATGGGTACCTCGTTAGGATGAGAAAGACACAATAACTCGGTGCGCCTAGTGGCTGCAAGATCTCCAGGGAGTTGAGACTGATAATACGATGTGCCGTTTAGATCCAATGACCGAGAGGAACATACCAGCGCCTTGAGCATGCACTAGTTGCGTGGATATGTGCGCTATATAAATATCCTATAATTTTACAAAATACATCCTGTTCACATTGAATAACATTTTTAGTAGCCCTGTAGGCAGAAACAGTTTTGATGGAGTTCTCACCGGGTGGAAATAGAGATACACTGATTCTAATGGTTAACGAATGGCTTATTGCACGCAAACAAGACATAATGTTAGTAATTATTAATTCAAAATATTAATACACTCTATTAAGTACTTAAAATATTGTAAAAAATACATACCGTTTATATCATTTTCGGACATTTCGAATTATTTCAGAGCCATTTTCTGTTTGCTGTGTTACAAGAGCACAAAATTGTGATTTTTCAACAGCTAACACGGCGCCGACCCAAACAAGAAGGTGCATTTGCATTTGAAGCATGAATTTTAACTGACTGACTGACTGACTGAGTTTTAGTTTTACGCCGCTTTTAGCAATATTCCAGCAATATCACGGCTGGGGACACCAGAAATGGGCTTAACACATTGTGCCCATGTGGGGAATCACGGGTCTTCGGCGTGACGAGCCAACGCTTTAACCACTAGGCTACCCTACCGCCCAATGAATTTTAACACATCAGGAACTTCAAACAGATGTGTTAGCAAGTAAATCTTTAATTTACTGGATGTAAAATATTTTGACTGTCAACACAGAAATATTCCGGTTCCGAAGACCGGCCACTGCTGCATGCGACAGGTGCGCGGTCGGGTGACTTTGTTACATACGGTTGTGGAATCAGGTGTGCACTTGAGGAAATGCAGATGATGATATTAGGCAAAATAGAAAAAAAAGTGAAAATAGCTTTGGGAAAGCCTTACTTTCACTGCAGTGAACATATGACTTTTCTGTAAAAGTTGTACAGTTATAAGCTTCCTAAACTTATAATCTCAGTCTTTCATACATAAAAAAATAAATATTAATGTTTAGTGCATTTTTGTGCACCCCTAATGATCTATATATACATACGAAGTGTTGAGGGGGAGCTTTGCATCAGGGTTAGGATGACAAATGTGCTTGTACTAGCAGATCGGGGGAGGGGGGAATGTCCGAAGAGCGCAGGGTTCCAAGTCTTTCGATGATGGTGAAGGGGAGGAAGGAGCCATTGCTTTACACAAAAGAAGTTGTGTATCCACACAGACTTATCTCCCTTTGTTTATGACATCGCCACTCTGATTGATATGTAAAGAAGTAGCAAGTAGGTTGGTTGGTTGTTTACCGCCGCACTCAGCAATGTTACAGCTATATGGCAGGGGTCTGTAAATAATCGAGTCTGGACCAGACAATCCAGTGATCAACAGCATGAGCATCGATCTATGCAATTGGGATACGATGACAACCAAGTCAGTAAGCCTGACCACTCTATCCCATTAGTCGCCTCTTACGACAAGCATGGGTTACTGAAGACCAATTCTAACCCGGATCTTCAAGCGTGAAGTAGCAAGTACCATTGATTAATATCAATGTCTAACAGCCTATTGGCCAATGTTGCCTAACATGTTACCATTCTCCTAGTTGTGAAAGTAAAAACAACCCCTGCAGTGAATATATTACTTGTCTGCTTATGATGTACAAATATGTCTTTTCTATACTTAAAATGCTTAAATAAACATAATAAGTAAATATGATATTTTAGTACACTTTGGAGCAAATTAATCATACTTAATACTTTTTCGTTAGGACATGTATAAAGTGTGGTTGAGGTTGACCTGGGGATTGTAATCAGAGTTTACAAATTGTTATGTTATTGTTGGCATAATGGATAGGGGTGGGGGTGGGGATGGTTGAAGTGGAGGGAGTAGGCCATTGTTTTGCAGTAAAGAAGTTGTGGATCCACACGGATTTATCTCCCTTGTTTATGACATCGCCACTCTGATTGCTGTGTAAAGAAGTAGCAAGAACCGTTGAGTAATATGATAGTTAACAGCTTATTGCCTGATGTGTTCTAACAGGTTACCATTCTCCTTATAGTTGTGAAACGAAAAGCAACCCCTGCAGTGATGACCCCTGCAACAACGGCGGCACCTGCGACTCCTGGGGGGACGTTCGGTATCAGTGCACCTGTCTCCCTGGCTTCACGGGGGTTAACTGTGAGACGGACGTGGGTACGTTGTGTCTAGACAGTGTGGTTACATGTGTGTCGGTGTTAACTGTGAGACGGACGTGGGTACGTTGTGTCTAGACAGTGTGGTTACATGTGTGTCGGTGTTAACTGTGAGAGGGACGTGGGTACGTTGTGTCTAGACAGTGTGGTTACATGGGTGTCGGTGTTAACTGTGAGACGGACGTGGGTACGTTGTGTCTAGACAGTGTGGGTACATGTGTGTCGGTGTTAACTGTGAGACGGACGTGGGTACGTTGTGTCTAGACAGTGTGGGTACATGTGTGTCGGTGTTAACTGTGAGAGGGACGTGGGTACGTTGTGTCTTGACAGTGTGGTTACATGGGTGTCGGTGTTAACTGTGAGAGGGACGTGGGTACGTTGTGTCTAGACAGTGTGGTTACATGTGTATCGGTGTTAACTGTGAGACGGAAGTGGGTACGTTGTGTCTAGACAGTGTGGTTACATGTGTATCGGTGTTAACTGTGAGACGGACGTGGGTACGTTGTGTCTAGACAGTGTGGTTACATGGGTGTCGGTGTTAACTGTGAGAGGGACGTGGGTACGTTGTGTCTAGACAGTGTGGTTACATGTGTATCGGTGTTAACTGTGAGACGGAAGTGGGTACGTTGTGTCTAGACAGTGTGGTTACATGTGTATCAGTGTTAACTGTGAGACGGACGAGGGTACATTGTGTCTGGACAGTGTGGTTACATGTGTATCGGTGTTAACTGTGAGACGGACGTGGGTACGTTGTGTCTAGACAGTGTGGGTACATGTGTGTCGGTGTTAACTGTGATACAGTCGTGGGTATGTTGTGTCTAGACAGTGTGGTTACATGTGTATCGGTGTTAACTGTGAGACGGACGTGGGTACGTTGTGTCTAGACAGTGTGGTTACATGTGTATCGGTGTTAACTGTGAGACGGACGTGGGTACGTTGTGTCTAGACAGTGTGGTTACATGTGTATCGGTGTTAACTGTGATACAGTCGTGGGTATGTTGTGTCTAGACAGTGTGGTTACATGTGTATCGGTGTTAACTGTGAGACGGACGAGGGTACGTTGTGTCTAGACAGTGTGGTTACATGTGTATCTGTGTTAACTGTGAGATGGACGTGGGTACGTTGTGTCTAGACAGTGTGGTTACATGTGTATCGGTGTTAACTGTGAGACGGACGTGGGTACGTTGTGTCTAGACATTGTGGGTACATGTGTATCGGTGTTAACTGTGAGACGGACGTGGGTGCGTTGTGTCTAGACAGTGTGGGTACATGTGTGTCGGTGAGGCTGCCACAGACTTTAACATGCCTTTTTCTGAAAAACAAACCATCAACAGTATCACTTCATGACGCAGGCTTCGTGGCTTCCTATTATTAAACTCCCAACATAACGTCTCCTATTAGAGTTATTCCCCTTGATACCAAAATTACCTTGAGCAGCGAGTTGCACTCAACTTAATCAAACTCAATGTCTCTGAATAACTGATTCCAATACAACCCATAACTGTGAGACGGACGTGGGTACGTTGTGTCTACATGTGTGTCGGTGTTAACTGTGAGACGGACGTGGGTACGTTGTGTCTAGACAGTGTGGTTACATGTGTGTCGGTGTTAACTGTGAGACGGACGTGGGTACGTTGTGTCTAGACAGTGTGGTTACATGTGTGTCGGTGTTAACTGTGAGACGGACGTGGGTACGTTGTGTCTAGACAGTGTGGTTACATATGTGTCGGTGTTAACTGTGAGACGGACGTGGGTACGTTGTGTCTAGACAGTGTGGTTACATGTGTATCGGTGTTAACTGTGAGACGGACGTGGGTACGTTGTGTCTAGACAGTGTGGTTACATGTGTATCGGTGTTAACCGTGAGACGGACGAGGGTACGTTGTGTCTAGACAGTGTGGTTACTTGTGTATCGGTGTTAACTGTGAGACGGACGTGGGTACGTTGTGTCTAGACAGTGTGGTTACATGTGTATCGGTGTTAACTGTGAGACGGACGTGGGTACGTTGTGTCTAGACAGTGTGGTTACATGTGTATCGGTGTTAACTGTGAGAGGGACGAGGGTACGTTGTGTCTTGACAGTGTGGTTACTTGTGTATCGGTGTTAACTGTGAGACGGACGTGGGTACGTTGTGTCTAGACAGTGTGGTTACATGTGTATCGGTGTTAACTGTGAGACGGACGAGGGTACGTTGTGTCTAGACAGTGTGGTTACATGTGTATCTGTGTTAACTGTGAGACGGACGTGGGTACGTTGTGTCTAGACATTGTGGGTACATGTGTATCGGTGTTAACTGTGAGACGGACGTGGGTGCGTTGTGTCTAGACAGTGTGGGTACATGTGTGTCGGTGAGGCCGCCACAGACTTTAACATGCCTTTTTCTGAAAAACAAACCATCAACAGTATCACTTCATGACGCAGGCTTCGTGGCTTCCTATTATTAAACTCCCAACATAACGTCTCCTATTAGAGTTATTCCCCTTGATACCAAAATTACCTTGAGCAGCGAGTTGCACTCAACTTAATCAAACTCAATGTCTGTGAATAACTGATTCCAATACAACCCATAACTTTGAAGTGCTGGTGAGTAGCGTCACGTTATACATAACACTTGTTTACGGTGTACACATATATTGCTATTGGGAAACTAATAGGACACCACATATGTATAGTTCGCTGTGTGTCCCAACAGATGAGTGTAAGGAGAACCCGAGTGGCTGTCTGTACGGCGGGACCTGTGTCAATGGCGACAACACCTACTCCTGCTCGTGCAAACCCGGTTTCGGGGACGACCACTGTCAAAATGAGACGGTCCTATGTACATCAGGGCGCTGCAGCAACGGACTCTGTATCAACAATTACGACAACGTCACTGCCGACTGCATCTGCGAGGAGCCCTTTGAGAAAGGTAATTGAGACAGGAATTGTTTCACATTTCTTTGGAAACACATTGGCTATAGGTTTGCGGTAAAAGGGTTAGGGTTTGCCACGTCTTCTGCATTTGTGGTAAGAGCCAATTGTTTTAACGTATGACCCATCTGATTCTGATTGTATGACATACCTGATTGTATGAGCGTATGACATACCTGATGTTGGAGCGTATAACATACCTGATTGTTGGAGCGTATGACATTCCTGATTGTTGGAGCGTTTGACATGCCTGATTGTTACAGCGTATGTCATATAGGATTGTTGGAGCGTATGACATACCTGATTGTATGAGCGTATGACATACCTGATGTTGGAGCGTATAACATACCTGATTGTTGGAGCGTATGACATTCCTGATTGTTGGAGCGTTTGACATGCCTGATTGTTGCAGCGTATGTCATATAGGATTGTTGGAGCGTTTGACATACCTGATTGTTGGAGCGTATGGCATACCTGATTGTTGGAGCGTATGACATACCTGATTGTTGGAGCGTATGACATATCGTATTGCTGTTTCTCCAGCTTCCAATGGCGAGTGTACCGAGAAGGACTTCTGTTCCCCGTCCCCATGCGCCACCAACAACACAGAACGCTGTGACAAGCTGACCGGCGGCTACCGCTGTGTGTGCAAGTCCGGCTACGAAGGATCTCTGTGTCAACACAACATCGACGACTGTGCCAGCAAACCGTGCGTGCATGGAACCTGTGTAGACAAAGTGACGACGTTCTCCTGCCAATGTGACGCTGGCTGGACAGGTAAACCGGGACAGAATTGGAATAAAATCAGATTTGTTGAAAGCAACTATGCACAAGGAATAGCGTGTGTGTGTCGTCATTTCACTTAGCATCGGGTGATTGTATTTCAGACAGAACAGGAAGGTTCTTGTAACTGCATACACAGATGTGATTTAACACATGAACGTGAATATCCTCTTCAAGGGAACTGTGTGAAGGGATCAGAGTGTGAAATTATGGAAGTTCTTTTCGTCGTCTAAGTGTGATATGCTATGATAAGAATGAGAGCTATTGAGAAGCCGTTTTGTGTGATGATACATATTCCTCGTTTGTCAGGTGATATGTGTGAAACTGACATCGTGGACTGCACAGATCAATGTCACCAAGAACAGACAGAGCGCTGTGTGGATCTGAGCCAGGACTACAGGTGTGAGTGTAAGCCGGGTTACACAGGTAAAAACTGCACGGTAAGTACGGGCCTTGTTCACTGGTGAACGGTTCAACGCCTTTCACCCAACTTACGGGTTCAGGTACTCAGGCTCTCTGACTTGGTTAACACATGTCATCGCATCCCAATTGCGTAGATCGATGGTCATGCTGTTGATCACTGGATTGTCTGGTCCATACTTGAATGTTTACAGATCGCCACCATATAGCGGAAATATTGCCTTGGTACAGTGCCAAACATCAAACAAATCAACCTTCCTTCCAATGGCTGTACAGTAACTGTTTCTATGGATGTGTTAGGCATGTTGGTAAATAGATCTTCTCCAGTAACAGGGGCCGTGATCGGATCATTAGGCTACATGTATGTTAACAAATGCTTGTTTTGCACCCACGATATTCTTCTTCGTCCGAAATAATCCCCTATAGCTTCCTACAATTTCAGAATGTATTTATTTGTCAGTCCTTTCAACCTTCCTTTGGGCTACAGAATATTTTGTGTAGCGCCGAGTTTTGTTCCCCAGGAGATGATCAACGAGTGTGCCTCCCTGCCGTGTATGCATGGCGGCACCTGTGGACCAGCTGGCCGACTACTCGTGTAACTGTACCCCTGGCTGGGGAGGGCAAGAACTGCCATAATATCACCAACACGTGCTCCGGCATCTCGTGTCAGAATGACGCCACGTGCTTCCCCGTGTTTGAAGACTACTTCTGCAGGTGGGTACCGGCGCATTAATGACAGGCAAGTGGTCATCGACGTAACAGAGATATGTATTGTATGAACCAGTAAGGTAGGTCTGATTCAGATTCACGTTTGATGTGTCAGGAATATATTGTAACGTGGTATTACTAATCGTTAAGTCGTTGATTCGTTATGGTAACCCTAAGAACATATATGCACGGAAGCAGATAGAGGGAAAGAGAATTATACTTATGCAAATTAAATTAACCATATGCTAATTTAAACAATAGGCAATTAGTTGGTATAAATGTAAACACAAACAAACTATACACGAAGCAAATATGAATACAGATTTCAATCCCCCCTCAAGTGAAAGACTTACAGAAACGTCGAACAGTATCCGTACACTAAGCCATCAGGTGACGTTTACAGAAATTGACCAGTTATGATGTATCAATTTGATTAATCATCTGGGAATCCCTTCAAATGAACGCAACTGATATAATTCACAGTTACCATTTTGTATGTACTGAATAACTAGACACACAATTGTGTTATGCGTTTTCTGGTCCATCGCCTGTTTATTTGGAACTGCTATACTGCAACACACACTTGACAATACTGTTATTGTGGGTGGTCATGAGTGGCGAGTGCTGTCGGTGGTAAGGCATGACCTTTACACATTGTACCTGTGTAAGGAATGAAACCGAAGTGTTCAGAGTAACGCTTGAACCACTTGCCAAAAACACCTTCTCTTTTTTTGACGAATATCGTTTCGTGTTATCTCTAGATAATTTACTACACATAGATATGGAAACTCTAAGGTCTCAGGGTACTAATTGTAAATCCTCGACTTCAGCTGCAAGAAGGGGACCCAAGGACGGCTGTGTGAAAACGCCCCCAATTTGTGTGATCTTGTCAGTCCGTGTACTACCCGGGGTACATGCCAGCAGTCAGGCGGGTCGGCAACGTGTAACTGTACATCATGTAAGTACTGGGGGGCATCAGTAGTCGATATTAACGTAACTTCACTTGTGTTTCTTCAACGATGTATACTTAAACTTTATATTTCTCTTTCCAAGTATACAGTGGGATGTCCTGTGAGCTGATCAAGGATACGTGTTCCGCCAATGTGTGTAACAATGGTGGCAACTGTTCTCTCGTCCAGCCAATGGGCCACACGTGTAACTGCCCAGAAGGTAGGTTTCTGAACACTTGACTCTCACATCTACACTCCTGTTTCTGAACACTTGACCCTCACATCTACACTCCTATTTCTGAACACGTGACTCTCACATCTACACTCCTGTTTCTGAACACTTGACCCTCACATCTACACTCCTATTTCTGAACACGTGACTCTCACATCTACACTCCTATTTCTGAACACTTGACTCTCACATCTACACTGAACACTTGACTCTCACATCTACACTCCTATTTCTGAACACTTAACTCTCACATCTACACTGAACACTTGACTCTCACATCTACACCCCTATTTCTAAACACTTGACTCTCACTTCTACGCTCCTATTTCTGAACACTTGACTCTCACATCTACACTCCTATTTCTGTACACTTGACTCTCACATCTACACTGAACACTTGACTCTCACATCTACACTCCTATTTCTAAACACTTAACTCTCACATCTACACTGAACACTTGACTCTCACATCTACAACCCCTATTTCTAAACACTTGACTCTCACTTCTACACTCCTATTTCTGAACACTTGACTCTCACATCTACACTCCTATTTCTGAACACTTGACTCTCACATCTACACTGAACACTTGACTCTCACATCTACACCCCTATTTCTAAACACTTAACTCTCACATCTACACTGAACACTTGACTCTCACATCTACACCCCTATTTCTAAACACTTGACTCTCACTTCTACACTCCTATTTCTGAACACTTGACTCTCACATCTACACTCCTATTTCTGAACACTTGACTCTCACATCTACACTGAACACTTGACTCTCACATCTACACCCCTATTTCTAAACACTTAACTCTCACATCTACACTGAACACTTGACTCTCACATCTACACCCCTATTTCTAAACACTTGACTCTCACATCTACACCCCTATTTCTAAACACTTGACTCTCACATCTACACCCCTATTTCTGAACACGTGACTCTCACATCTACACTCCTATTTCTGAACACTTGACTCTCACATCTACACTGAACACTTGACTCTCACATCTACACTCCTATTTCTGAACACTTAACTCTCACATCTACACTGAACACTTGACTCTCACATCTACACCCCTATTTCTAAACACTTGACTCTCACTTCTACACTCCTATTTCTGAACACTTGACTCTCACATCTACACCCCTATTTCTGAACACTTGACTCTCACATCTACACTGAACACTTGACTCTCACTTCTACACTCCTATTTCTGAACACTTGACTCTCACATCTACACTCCTGTTTCTGAATCGCCCAACATGGGATCATATGGCGTAAACACCGGACTCATCCTGTGCACATCTACATCTACGTCCTCCAAGATGAAAACACATAGATCTAAACACTGGGCATCTCTGACTTGACTCATCCTCCGACACCACCTATACCTTTGTCACTACGGGCAGAACTTATAAATCCTTGAAATGAGACTCTCCCTCACGCCTCTCCCTACTGAGTCCTTCTGCGGCATCCTCTCAGACACCTGTTACCCCTAAATGGTATCCGTCCATGCATCTGTTGTATCGTCAGTCTGCATTTGCTTACATCCACCAGGAACACGAACCGAAACATGAGTCTCATTAACCTATTCAGACAATGACCTGCTCTTCAGCCGATCCGAATTTTCTCGTGTGAAAGTGAAAGGAGACACCACAAACAACTATTGTTACACTGAATTACAATTCCTTCATAAGAAAATAGTATTTACAAGTTAAATTAAATTTTAATCTGTAATAACATCGTATTCCTATATTTTATGGCGAGGTGTAGGCAGCATGTCGTGAACTAAGACGCCACAGACTGCCCCTATTTGACGAGGTCGTAAAATGATTCACAATTCATCTGGCTCACTGGTTACAACTGTTGTGTGTTTTGTGTGCTTATTCAGTGTATTTTAGTAACGCACAATGTGATTGATACAATTTCATGTCCGTACCAGACCGCCAAACTTTCCTAGAGGCAGAGCCTCGTTTTGAGATTTCCAGATTTCCGTTTGTCAGAGCATGCTATACGACAGAGCACGCTGCACGACGTGTCTGCAAGAATAAGAAGGAGCGTAGTGTTGCAATATACAAGTGCTTAGATCAAACGAGACTGTTGTGTAATCAATGTTTTGACTTGATCCCGCCTGATATATGTGTGATGTAGCCAATACGCTCCCTCTCTATTCAGGATTCAGCGGTGATTGCCAGACGAAGGACGATGTTTGCAGCAACAAGTGTCCATCTGGCACGACCTGTCTAAGCGAGGGACGCGAGACCTTCTGCCTGTGTACACCTCCACAGATTCTCTCGGGGACAACGTGTAAAGGTGGGAAAGTACAGGCGACATTAGAAGTGACTTGACGTTGCACTGATCATTTTACAGATGCGATACCACCAACCCCCTCTCCATCCCGATACGTTATACGGAGGACAGTAATCAGCTTGACTGTCCGACTGTCCCTCTGTAACACCTGTCTGTATGGAGCATCCTTTCATCATGCCGAAGCTTTGCACAGGATGACCAGGATGTCAACTGGCGTGTTTCGCTATTAAGAAATTTTCAGAGTTTTGGGGTTAGGTATTCTTTATCAGCAGGCTTATCTAAATTCAGCGATGTGTCTTAACAAAGGGTATCGCCGGAATGGCAGGTACTTTTTCTGTACGACCAAGAAATGACGAACGTGTAAATTGGTGCTTTAAAGTCTTGACAAAACTGTTTCAATTATGTTAATTATTTGTTTCACTTATGTTACCAAGTTTGTATCACGTTATCATGATTATTCATAACCTATTTCCATATCATTGCACTATGACTCAAGACTTATCTTGCCCAATGGCTAAAGATGACAGGACTCTTCACTAGCTCATACCTTTTCGAAAATATGATTTGATAGCTCAGTAACTACTTGGTGTGTAGGAAACAGATATGCCAACACAGTTAGCTGAAACAAACAGATGATGATTATTGTTATAAGTATTTTACAATGTGCTGTCTACATCACTGTAAGAATATGGAGAATGTATAATGTATGTATTAGCTATGTTATGTTTTTATGATAAAAAAACTTAATGATGTTTACATTATATTTTCACTGCTGATGATTATTATGATCATGCTGTCGTAATGGCTGTCAACTATACCCACAGTAGCGTCATGTTGTGTGGCCCACCCAGCAACAGCTACCCCGTGTCCGCTGCTATATGGACACTGATTGCAGTAAACTGTTTACGTTTTTATTCTGATAACGGTTTATTTGTCAGACACGTCGCCAAACTTTGACCTGTACCTGGACAATCGATTGGTATCCCAGGTTGTCCAGTCGTACAGCCCGTTCCAGCTTACAGGCGACCTGTCCATCATGTTCTGGATCGGCTACCTCAACTCCGGCAGATCAGTCGTGATATCCAACCTGTAAGTCGTCCACATCTCTTGATAATACATGTGCTGTTCACTCGTTCTCACTAATGAGGTGCAATTGCTGTCCGCCCTAATCAGATCAAATACTTATGAACGTAGATTAGATAAGTTACCATATTTTAACAGGGTACAGTGAAGACAACTTCTGACATTTAAGGATTCTCTCGTATTCATTTCGTATTTGACAGCAACACCCAAAACACGTAAAACGATACCTACGTTACCTGTCCGCCCCTTTGGGTTGATAGAGATATGTTTCAATAAAGAAGTGAGAACAATAAGTATTGATTATTGTTACGGTTATAGCGATTGGTGAGTGATCCAGCCTTGCTTCCATGTCTGTTATGGTGACTTCCATTCATGCACAGCCAGATGAGCTCAGACAAAAGACCTGTCCGCTATGCTGAGGATACCTACGTTACTAGTAGATAATGAAACAGGACATTTTTTGGCGTAGTGACAGTTTTAAGTATTACTCAGTACTAGATATAAGATACATACTTCAACTCACAAAAAAATACTGGGAATTCAAGGACAGAGTGCATCCATCATGTTGTACGGAATCACGAATGTAGAAAATGATTTGATGGCCACGAGAACTGAGTAGGATAAATGACTTGTGATCATTATGATTTCAAGCACGTCTTCATATGATGCTGTGGAGGTCTCTACTTTACATGAACAACTCTCTTGCAGCGATCGCAGTGAAAAGTATTTCGAGCTGTTCCAAGACCGTGTCGAGTTTTTGGGAAAGGTGGTCAATATGAGTATGGAAAAGGGAAATCTTGAGACAGTCAAGGGCCAATGGGATCATGTTGCAGCCACGTGGACAAGAAACGGGTCAACCAATGTGTTTATAAACGGAATCAAAGTCAAATCAGCAGATATTGATGTTAACCTCACAGACAGCAACGGGTAGGTTAAAGCTTGGTGCTCAACTCAGATTAATGTTACACGGTGTTGGCACGGATATGGGAACGGTGTTGTTGAACGTGATGGTGTTGTTGAGGAAAGCAGCAGTAACACGCCAGACAAAAACATAAACCGCTCATTTGATGTTCTTCTGAATAGAATATCTGCGTTTCAGATACGTTGTATACTTAGATATGTGTACTTAGACCAATTTCATATGGACATTGGGCAGTTTGCAATGCAACTTTATCTTGCAGTCTGAAGATTGTGTGGTTCGACCCAGCCTTCAGAGGTTACATCTCCCGTCTTACTGTGTGGAGAAGCATCCTAACTCACACTGATGTGACAAATGTGTTGGGGAACTTGAACTACCTTGGTGACCTTGCCCTTGGGTGGAACCGCTACAAGATGGCGGGCGGAAGTAGAATATACGTCCCAAGCAAGGCTGGTCCGGGTGTTACTCTGTGCGAATCGGGACGTGTCATGGCGGAAAACTGCACTGGACAACCAGGTTACCCATTCTCTGTTATAAAATAAGAAGTTCAAGGACATACAAGCAAGCATGATTACATTGCAAGCATATTTAAGGACATGCTACTGATGATTCATTACAGTTCATGCTTACAAATACGTTCGGCATCAAAGCAGTTTATCGTGATTAAGACATGTTATCCTCATGGTGTTGTTTCGGACAAATCCAGTTTTGTTCATTCCACAGACAAGAAGAAGCCAGTTCTGAAGGACTGTCCATCCAGCGACATCGTGAGAAACGTAAGCAGCCGCGTCGTGGAGACCATTGCCGTCTACACAGCGCCCTCTACAGACAGTAACGCCACAGTATCCAGCACATTCACAGGTGACTGACACAGCTATTGAAAACACACACCGGAGATACATACATGCAGGGTTTGTGCTGCGAGAAGAAACAATGACAAAGGAAAAAAGCTTTACATACACTCCTGGAATAAAGTAACTGTGCATTATTTGAGTTTATGCCATTTTAATGCAATAAGATAATAACACGATTTGTGGTGTTTTCCGTAATCACTGTTTGACTGTTGACAGGATAATATCGAAATCTGCATGATTTGACACTAGGCATGATTTGACACACGCATTTGAAGAGATCCGATGTCAAACATCAGTTCACAAATTCAGTATCGTGTGTTTCCACCACCGACACCGACAACGCATAGACAACACGACGTTTGGTGAATGTTGTTCCATGTCTGAAGCAAGGCTTGTCCCAATTCAACTGACGTCAAGTGCAGATTCTTGGCTTGACGTAAACATCTCTCCATGTCATCTCAAGCGTGTTCGATAGGAGGCAGGTCCGGAGACAGAAGTCATGCCTCTGTCCGTGAATAAACGGCTGCACATGAGGCCCAATGATCTCATCCCTGTATTGCAGACCTGTCGACCTGTCAGACTGCCATTGACAATGACAAGTTGCAAAGTGCTTAGCTATATGTATATTTAGTTGTTTTTTTTATAACTTTTCAATAAGCTTTATTTCATGCAGTCTTATGTTGTGCACAGTTACTTTTTCCGTTGGTATATGTATTTATTCAAAACAGCGATGATGCACAGACATGTTCGAACGTACAGTTGCATGGGGAAATGTATACTCTCCAAAAAACGAAACGCATCATGCAAATAGTAATTTCATGTAGCAATGAATTTAAACGTGATTCAGTTTACAAAAGGTTTTGCCCTGTTTGTGAGTCCTATGGTGTTTATGTTTTGAAACATCACAACAAAACGCACCATCCGTAATATACCCGTATTTAATAGCATGATTTTCAATTTCGGCGTGTAGTGTCACAGAATACACAATTCACATGTAATGCACGTGAAAGTTGGGGATCAGATAGTCACAATGATGGGTATAAAAGGTTGATCGCTGTCTATCGATTATTCACTGTATTTGGAATATTGTTGACGAACAAAATGCCACGTCTAAGTGAAGCCAACCGTCATATCGCCATTGGTTTGCTTGAAGCTGGCCAGTCTCAACGTGCAGTTGCCCGACGCATGAATAATCACCAAAGCACCATTTCACGGCTCTGGGAGAGATATCGCCGGCAGAATGCAGTAGCAGATGCCCCTCGTAGTGGGCGACCTCGAGCGACCACTGCGGCGCAGGATCGCTACATCCGGGTACATCACCTACGTCATCGAACAGCTACGGCGACCAGTACCGCTCGACAAATACCCGGATTGAGGAGGCTTTCTGCACAGACGGTCAGGAACAGGTTGAGAGAGGCTGATTTACGTGCCAGAAGACCTTATTTTGGCCCTGTGCTTCGACAACAACATCGTCGACATCGAGTTCAATGGTGCACCAACGTTCAGGCCTGGAACCTTCCGAATTGACGCAGAATCTGGTTCAGTGATGAATCACAATTTCCATTGGAACGACGCGATGGAAGAATGCGGGTGTACAGACGTCGACGTGAACGTTTCGCCGACGCTTGCGTTCCGCAGGTGGACAGATTCGGCCGGGGCAATGTTATGATGTGGGGAGCAATCACCTGCCGTAGGAGAAGTGATTTGGTGATGATCCAGGGCAACCTGAGAGCTCAACGGTACTGTGACGAAATCCTACGCTCACAACTATTTCCAATGATTGGTCGCCAGAGGGAGTTGTTTCAACAGGACAATGCCAGGCCCCACACAGCACGTCACACTGGAGACTTCCTCCAGAACCACAACATCAACGTGCTCCTCTGGCCCTCAAGATCACCGGACTTAAACCCCATCGAACAACTGTGGGATGCCCTGGACAGACGGATGCGACGCCGTAACCCTCAGCCCCAGACACTTCAGCAATTCGCACAGGCACTACAGGCAGAGTGGGCTGCGATTGGGCAACACGAGATTCTGAGACTTATTCGTTCGACGCCGAGGCGATGCCGTGCAGTTCTGGATGCCCACGGTGGTGACACGAGGTATTGACTTCAGCGCCACCACACGTCTCCATGTGACATTCAAACTGACTTTCCTCGAGTTGGTGCCAAAGACGGATAAGTCTGCATTCCCAATGTGCAATATATTTCGCTATATTTCCTTGACTCATAAAGCCTACAAGATGTTTCAAAATAAATATAAAAAGACAGTTGAAATTCCTATATGCTTTTCTTTTTGGGGAGAGTATATATACTACTGTAAGTGATCGTGCATGTAGATATGTATGTTTTGGTGTGTAACATGTAGGTGTGTACAGGTGTGTTTGGGGTGAATGTGTGTGTGTGTGTGTGTGTGTGTGTGTATGTGTGTGCGTGCGTGTGATATTTGACAGCGGTGTGTCTGTTCCAAATGAAATTTGAAGCTTGGGAATAATGTGTAATTCCCTTTCCTCGACAAATTGAAGACGCGAACACGATGATGGTTCTGTGTCTGATCTACGTATAATCCCAATACGTTAAAGTGCCTGTCCCAGGCACCAACTTATGATGCTTGCATGACAATGTGCCCGTTCCAGGTGAATTCATGATGATTGCATGACAATGTGCATGTTCCAGGTGAATTCATGATGATTGCATGGCAATGTGCATGTTCCAGGTGAATTCATGATGCTTGCATGACAATGTGCATGTTCCAGGTGAATTCATGATGCTTGCATGACGCTGATTTTGTTTTTGTTCTAGACGAGCTCATGATGCGAGGCAGGTATGATATTGTTTACGTCGCCAAGGACGGCCAAGGAAACACTGGATGGTGTAGATTCAAGGTGTACATAACAGGTACGGGGACATCGCCCACCTCAAAGTTATCTGAAAACGCACGATAATGAGAGCAAGTGTCATACTTTACTGCTCACGATTAAAGCACATTACAACTACTTTGTGCGTAATTTTGGACGTGTTGTATTGATAAACCGAAACCGGTTTAAGAAAGAGGTTGCGGAGTAATTGACCATGTGCACTATTTGGGGCATTTCAATGTATGCGCAATTGCATGAAGTCCTTAAATCTGCATAGAAATAAATAAAGACTGCAGAATCATTGAGGAGTTGAACTGTGGGTCGGAAAGAGCTTACCCAGGTCTACCGTTACCATCACACGCTTGTAAACAACATGCGCCACAAGCAGTACCACCAGCACCTTGGTTAATAGAATAAGTCAAAGGCAAAGGTTTCAGTTTCTGACTGGAATAGATTAGTGAAATCCAGCACTCGCATCAGAGCACAGACTATATCCAGGGATATCATACGTCCTCTGAGCTGACCACCTTATCATCACATACAAACATCAACTAACGGTCCCAACTGGTAAAGGTGATAAATGGAGTCTCCGTATGTACTTGATTGAAGGCAAGTGTTTCGCTGACACAAAAGGTGTCTTGTGATGTGACTTTTACATGCTCTGTTCCAATTATCATTGAAACTTTGGGAGATTGAGAATGCACCGATGTTGGTATTATATCACTTCAAGTTTGAATAGGTTGTGCTTCTAAAAGAATGTAAAAGCTTTGGAAAACAATAGTGGTAAAAATTCCGATGTTGGTATTATTGTATACTTGCCGCAATAACATTTCTAGAGGGAACAATATATTATACGAGGTTTTATGCGTCCCTGTGGTTTTATCCACCGAGTCGGAGGCGAGGGGGTTTATCGTCACTGTGTCAGGGTTTATCCACCGAGTCGGAGGCGGGGTTTTAAAGTTTATCCACCGAGTGAATAGGTTGTGCTTCTGTGTAAAAGTCGGAGGCGAGGGTTTTATGCGTCCTATGTAAAGCTTTAGGCGGCGAGGGGGTTTAATACGTCCTGTGAAAACAATAGTGGTAAACATTCAGAGTTAGGGTTTTATAATTTGAGGCATCAGTGATCCTCAGTCTGGTGTTATTCCACCGAGGATGCGCTGTGTCAGGAGGCGAGGCGAGGGGTTTTATGCGTCCTGTGTCTTGTACCATGTCATATCCACCGAGTCGGAGGCGCAAGGGGTTTTATGCGTCCCTCCAGGGAACAATATATATATACGGGTTTTATGCGTCCTGTGTCAGGTTTATCCACCGGAGTCGGAGGCGAGGGGTTTATGCGTCCTGTGTCAGGTTTTATCCACCGAGTCGGAGGCGAGGGGGTTTTATGCGTCCTGTGTCAGGTTTTATCCACCGAGTCGGAGGCGAGGGGGTTTTATGCGTCCTGTGTCAGGTTTTATCCACCGAGTCGGAGGCGAGGGGGGATTTTATGCGTCCCTGTGTCGGAGGAGGGGTTTAATGCGGCCTCGTGTCAGGCTCTTTATCCATCACCGAGTCGGAGGCGAGGTACTTATGCGTCCTGTGTCGGGTCGGGTTTTATCCACCGGGTCAGGCAGCAGGGTTTTATCCATCCACCGAGTCGGAGGCGAGGGGAGGGTTTTATGCGTCCTGTGTCAGGTTTTATCCACGAGTCGAGGCGATGCTGGCTGTCAGGTTTATCCCACCGAGGGCGGGGTTTTTATGCGTCCGGAGGCGAGGTTTTATGCGTCCTGTGTCAGGTTTTATCCATCGAGTCGGAGGCGAGGGGGTTTTATGCGTCCTGTGTCAGGTTTTATCCACCGAGTCGGAGGCGAGGGTTTTATGCGTCCTGTGTCAGGTTTTATCCACCGAGTCGGAGGCGAGGGGGTTTTATGCGTCCTGTGTCAGGTTTTATCCACCTGTTTGGGGTTCGGAGGCGGGAAGGGTTTTATGCGTCTGTGTCAGGTTTATTCACCCAGTCGGAGTCGAGGGTTTTTTAATCCGTCCTGTGTTAGGTGGATAAAACCCAACGAGGGACGCATAAAACCCCGTATACCCCGAATTATAATGCTACAACGAATATCTTACCGAAAGTTTAAATTTATCATTATGTAACTATAACATTAAAACAAACTTAAATTCAATCATATATGTTACTACTATGGTACCGACCACTCCATCCAAACCACTGGTTCACGGTTCACTGACTGCCATGGATGCATGTTTATTCTCCATGGGGCGGAGTATAAATGATTTATTCTCCCTCGCAAAGACTTATACCCCGCTTCGGCGGTGTACAGCCGTGCACCCGGCATACATGGTAATTTGTTCGAAAGTCGGAGATGGACTTTTTTACACGAGGTAGGGTAACTACTTATGTATGTGTTGGGGGATAGGTAGGGTACGCTCTTGAGTACCTGGTATCATGACTCTTTATATTGGGATTCCAAAAATATATGCTCAACAAAATAATCGGTATGTTCCAACGAACTGTCATTTCGCATGACTATGGAAAGGGGTCTTGTGGACTGTTTTACATAAACGAGTGGGTTATGATTTAATGATGAAATGCGATTGTATTAATATTGGTGAATATGGTGACGTCTTGACAATCAAATCATGTTGGCAGTCATACCTTCATTTTTGCAGGATCAAGCACATGCAGCACAGAGGGCTTCTTGGCGACCACAACTTGTGGAGCAACTGCAGTTCGTGACTTCTGTCCCACCGGCCAAGCCCCTTCCATCCCAACGCCAAATATTCTAAGTTGTGGCAAACTTGGGTCGTATAATCTGGACAATCCTTTGGAGCTATACACACCGCCTGCTTGTGGAGGTAGGGCTACATAGAAGTGCGGAGGGGGGTTGGAGTTGACATGTAATGTGCAATAGTATATACAACTTCACTGCCACGCAACACATTTACCACTGTCATGACGAGGGCGGTTGGGTAGCCTAGTGGTTAAAGCGTTGGCTCGTCACGCCGAAGACCCGGGTTCGAATCCCCACATGGGTACAATGTGTGAAGCCCATTTCTGGTGTTCCCCGCCGTGGTGTTGCTGGAATATTGCTAAAAGCAGCGTAAAACCAAACTCCGTCAGTCAGTCATGACGAATATGCGGCCTTCGTAAACACGTTTTTATCACAACGGCAACGCATAATACACACACTCCAGAGACTAAACAAACGAGGGACATGTTATACACTTACTTGTTGAAGGGTTCACCAATATTTACAGGGATGGAATATGCAAAGGAGGGACATGTTATACACTTACTGGTTGAAGGGTTCACCAATATTTACTAGGATGTAATATGCAAAGCAGGGACATGTTATACAATTACTGGTTGAAGGGTTCACCAATATTTACAGGATGTAATATGCAAACAGGGACATGTTATACTTACTGGTTGAAGGGTTCACCAATATTTACAGGGATGGAATATGCAAACAGGGACATGTTATACAATTACTGGTTGAAGGGTTCACCAATATTTACAGGGATGTAATATGCAAACAGGGACATGTTATACACTTACTGGTTGAAGGGTTCACCAATATTTACTAGGATGGAATATGCAAGCAGGGACATGTTATACAATTACTGGTTGAAGGGTTCACCAATATTTACAGGGATGTAATATGCAAGGAGGGACATGTTATACAATTACTGGTTGAAGGGTATTCACCAATATTTACAGGGATGTAATATGCAAACAGGGACATGTTATACAATTACTGGTTGAAGGGTTCACCAATATTTACAGGGATGTAATATGCAAACAGGGACATGTTATACAATTACTGGTTGAAGGGTTCACCAATATTTACAGGGATGAATATGCAACAGGGACATGTTATACAATTACTGGTTGAAGGGTTCACCAATATTTACAGGGATGTAATATGCAAACAGGGACATGTTATACAATTACTTGTTGAAGGGTTCACCAATATTTACAGGGATGTGCAAACAGGGACATGTTATGCAATTACAGGGACATGTTATACACATTACTTACTGGTTGAAGGGTTCACCAATATTTACAGGATGTAATATGCAAACAGGGACATGTTATACAATTACTTGTTGAAGGGTTCACCAATATTTACAGGGATGTAATATGCAAGGAGGGACATGTTATACAATTACTCGTTGAAGTGTTCACCAATATTTACAGGGATGGAATATGCAAGCAGGGACATGTTATACAATTACTCGTTGAAGTGTTCACCAATATTTACAGGGATGGAATATGCAAGCAGGGGCATGTTATACAATTACTCGTTGAGGTGTTCACCAATATTTACAGGGATGAAATATGCAAGCAGGGACATGTTATTATACAATTATTTACAGGGTTGAAGGGGGTTCACCAATATTTACAGGGATGTAATATGCAAGCAGGGACATGTTATACAATTACTCGTTGAGGTGTTCACCAATATTTACAGGGATGGAATATGCAAGCAGGGACATGTTATACAATTACTCGTTGAGGTGTTCACCAATATTTACAGGGATGTAATATGCAAACAGGGACATGTTATACAATTACTGGTTGAAGGGTTCACCAATATTTACAGGGATGTAATATGCAAACAGGGACATGTTATACAATTACTTCGTTGAAGGGTTCACCAATATTTACAGGGATGTATAATATGCAAACAGGGACATGTTATACAATTACTCGTTGAAGGGTTCACCAATATTTACAGGGATGGAATATGCAAGCAGGGACATGTTATACAATTACTCGTTGAAGGGTTCACCAATATTTACAGGGATGGAATATGCAAGCAGGGGCATGTTATACAATTACTCGTTGAAGTGTTCACCAATATTTACAGGGATGGAATATGCAAGCAGGGACATGTTATACAATTACTCGTTGAGGTGTTCACCAATATTTACAGGGATGGAATATGCAAGCAGGGACATGTTATACAATTACTGGTTGAAGGGTTCACCAATATTTACAGGGATGTAATATGCAATGCACAGGGACATGTTATACAATTACTGGTTGAAGGGTTCACCAATATTTACAGGGATGTAATATGCAAACAGGGACATGTTATACAATTACTGGTTGAAGGGTTCACCAATATTTACAGGGATGTAATATGCAAACAGGGACATGTTATACAATTACTGGTTGAAGGGTTCACCAATATTTACAGGGATGTAATATGCAAACAGGGACATGTTATACACTTACTTGTTGAAGGGTTCACCAATATTTACAGGGATGTAATATGCAAACAGGGACATGTTATACACTTACTGGTTGAAGGGTTCACCAATATTTACAGGGATGTAATATGCAAGGAGGGACATGTTATACAATTACTGGTTGAAGGGTTCACTATACCTGGATCTTCTTCCATTACGTCAAGATCAGCGTTTGTATCAAGATTTACACCCTTGATATCTTCCTTGTGAAAGCTTGTCCACTGCTGGGGGAGATGAATTTTACAGGCTCTTATTGCTGCTAACACTATATTTCGAACTTTGTACTGACATTGTCGTTTGCTGTTTATGTATTCTTTCAGTTTTGAAATCGAGACGTAAAACAAATGAACCAAAGAAATGAACTGAAACAATGTTATTCGAAGTATACTCTGAAAGAGCGAAACTAACCAAGAATAGGTTGTATTGTACTTGTACTGACCGGGAGAAGATAACTCCGGAGAAGGAATTAATTGTATTGACCTTTCACTGACAGGGAATAGATAGTAAAACAATGTACAAAGGCAGCGCAAAATTAGACCCTTTACGACCATAAAATATAGAGAGGAGCATATAATTTTTATTGTTTGGCATTCATTTTATTGCCAGAGATAAGATAACCAAGAAGGATGCTAGCATCACACTGTCGCCAGACGAAATCATCAAGATAACAGCGATTGAAAGTGATGATTTGAGTGACGAGGCGTTCCGGGTGAGTATCCTCTAGTCATGGCCATGTGAGTGTCTCTACAAATAATGATTTTCTCATGTATATGTATGCATGAAAATGTTTAGTACTACAAGATCGATGTCAGAACTCCATGGAATGTTGTCTTTCAAGATGTATTCTTCATGATACTGACAATTGTCGTCATCGCCATTGGCTCATGAAAATCGTCCGTTCCATGATGGGCACTACCGCTAAGATTTATTGCAGACTTAGCCATTAAACTGTTTGCTTTGTGTTTGTGGTATTGATAACACTGGAAAAAAAATCCATCTTTCCAAGCTTGGAAATGTCTTGGAAAGATGATGTTTCCAAGACATTTCCAATTTTGGAAAGATGATGTTTCCAAGACTTTCCAATTTTGGAAAGATGATGTTTCCAAAAATTTCCAATCTTGGAAATATCCACAAGGGGAGATAACTGGTGGGTGATGGTAAATTATTGTTCTGCATGGGCTAATTGCAATAGTGGCATGGGGCGGCATGAGTGTTTCATGGGGTCGTTAAGGTGACTGGCGGTAGTCTTTGATGTTTGGTGTTGTTTTAGTAATGATTGTTTTAAGGGTTAACGAAAAGGATTATCGACTTGACTAGTCGAAATTGCAGTGAACACATTTTAAGTGTTCAATGTTGTGGGTGAAAAGTGAATTTGTCACGTTGAGTTTAAATATGTATCATCATCAAAGCATATCTAGTCAGTGAGAGTTAATTTCGTACAAAGGGCCACCGACCCGTTTTACAATTATAAAGATGAAAATACAATCCAGCGCCATATATAATATCAAGCTGTATGCTAACGTGTACAATGTCTCATTTAATCTTATACTCTATATTCAAAAACTTCGCTCTTTTTGTCAATGTTTCACATGGATTATTTATGTAGTATTGTGGGGGAAGGCTGTTTCTCAGATCACAGTAAAATGAACATTCAATAAAGAATTGGTACTCTGATTCAATGGTAAGTACAATACACAGAGGGTAGAATCACTCATGTTGTTTTATATTTACTTTTCGCCCTTATTCCAACATTAAAGGAAGGTCTGAACAACGAAACTTACTCAAAGCAAAACGAATCGTTGCGTTGCTGTCAATCGTTGCGTTGCCGTCCTGGGGGGTCGAGTGATGGTGTCACCATGCACTAATTTCCACCGGACCCCGCAGTTCGTGCTAAATCATTTAGTAAATGGGTTATGTTTGTGAGTGCGAAGCGAGCGTTGTGGAAGCTTGGAACGATATCTTAAATTTATCCAGATCGCTTCGCGGAAGTTAAAGAACCAAACTACTTACTACTTGTAGTACAATATATATATGATTGATGACCAAAAATATTTTCCATGACACAACTTGAAGCATAAAGATTTCTTTCTCGGAAGCGAGGTCGTGGTGGAAGTGACAATAATATTGTAAGTAGTGTTATATTGACACCCACCTCGCTTCCTCGAGAGAATTGTTATGATATAAGATATGTCACGCAAAATCCTATTGGACACCAATCAAATACATATTGTACTACCAGTAGAAAGTAGTTTTGATTTTGTAACTCGGTGAAAACAAACCTAAATAGCATTTATTCTCAGACTGGCGGCTGTTTTTTTAATAATCGTAACATCACGGGCTAAAGTCTGTTAAAGAATTAATGAGATTATGGTTTGTTTTCATCAAGTTAGAAAATCGAAACTACTTTCTACTCGTAGTTAAATATGTATTTGAATCATGGCCAACAGGATTTGGCATGACACAACTTGTAACATAACGATTTCTTCCTTGGAAGCGAGGTGGGGGTCGAAGTGACAATACTGCCCAATAAATTTCTTGCTACATTCACGTGGTAAACGTCCACTCACCAGTATGTAGATACTAGTCAACGTGCGTCTTTATGTTTGGTCTTATTATCCTAATTAGTTTATTATCATACTTGTATGCATTTTGAAACTAAATAAAAATCAGGCGATCTGCCTATACTTATAACTGGAATATCTAGACATTTTATAGTTTGCCAATGTAAATCATAATTCGCACACACGCCCTAGTGTATGTTGTCTGTCTCATTACTTCACGACGAAAACAATGATTCTGTGGAATGCTACGAAAAATGAAAAAAACAACAAAATGCAATTATTAAAATTAAAACAGATTAGAGTTATAAGAATAATGTCAGGCGATTACTTTGTTCAAGGAATGTATCCATCAATATCCACAAAAATGAGTGATATACCATTCACCTGCAGCTGTTCCAAATGATGTGTCTTTTAACAGTCTAATACATGTTTACGAAAAGTGATATATCGTTTCAGGTATTTCACATTGGTATGTAGTCTCATTGGTAACCCAAGATAGCATACCTGGGAACTAATTGCATAATGTCCGCCATTCTTTACAAAAAAGTAATTTAGTTAGCCAATAATGAGAATCAATGTCTTGGCGGTTAATCCTTTGAAAGAAGGAAGTTGTTTTACGTAGACACAGACACGACAGAGTGTATTCAGTTTAGATTAGTAAATGTACATACATAAACACTACCTTTTGACAAATCCGCTGTGTAAGATAAAAGTATGGGTTAATCCTTTGATCGATGTTTATAATGTTGAGTATTTACTCCAGACACAAGAAATGCCAAATGGGAACCTTTGTCGGGTTATCTAAGTGGTGTTACCACTAATTGTACCTGTTATAAATTCATTAACTGACCATCAAGTGAATGATGACAAATGACATGTGTAGGTTTATACCACCTAACACGGGTTACAACAAGGGAGTATTAATTGCTGTATTACATATGAAAACCTATGGGCCGACACTATTTTGAGAATACGGACAGAACTGTTGTTCAACATTGTTGCATAAGAGATACATATAAGCATTTGCTGTGTGCTAAAACTGTATTTACCTATTTACCTAAGTAAATTTTCAGAGTCTTCTAGCAATAGCAAAGTGCAAGGATGTGTTAAAAAGGAGAAACGCAAACAGTTGCTGTTCGAATTGCATGAAATATGCAAGAACATGACATATTCAAGAACAATGTTGCCAATTTTGGAAATATGAGATTTCCAAAAATGTACAATTTTGGAAATGTCCACAAGGGGAGATAACTGGTGGGTGATAGTAAATTATTGTTCTTTGCACGCCCCAGGACCTAATCCCTTGTTGATTGATGAGTGAATCAAGGCAGTTAAGAGTCACCAATTAACAAGACCTACTGCCTCGTTAATTAACAAGTTTTTATGCCTCTTAAAGAAGCCTCTGGAAGTAAGTTAAATCTTTGATGGGCATTAAGAAGTGGAATACATTACTGTGACCTGATTTTCACCTGATGAAGGAGCAAGCATACACTCCGAAACTTCGTGTTATTCACAATAAAGAAGTTGACATCCATAAATCTTGCTTTTCTTATTAAAACGGTAAGTTATTAAAATCTGCTGAGCTGTAGGTTTGTAAATCATGTCGCGATGTGATTATCGCTCTAACACACCTGAGAGATTCGTCAACAGTGTGGTATGCACAGGCGGTGAAAATTGTAGTGTATTACATTGGGTTGGTTGCATATTGTTTTGTGTTATGCTGTCAGTTTGTATGTATGTGTGAATGAGGAACCTCACATATTGAAAACAAAACTAAACTTAACATTATTCCATGGTTAATATCGCAATGTTTGTGAAATGGTAGTATACGGAAGTTTGTTTCACATTTTTGATAATACCTTCTTTTATGCAGATAAAATTATTAAAAAATGAACGAATAATGCCATGCTTCTCTCAGAGTAAGGGAAGATAATTTATAGAGTGATTCTTATCAAATTAGATATTTCTTTATCGTCCGAACAGAATTCACAAATTACGGATGTTTTGTGTGGGTGTGGGTGCATGCACGCTAGTATAACATCTAAATTGATAGGTATTAATTAAAATCAGGCCGATTGTAACCATAATGACTATATTGGTTGGAACACTCCGAGAACAAAAATAATTTCACTCTTCAAAAGGAACTGGAACAGTAACATTTTTCATGTTTTCATATGAGCTTCAAAACATTGAATGAAATAAATGCTGTATGATGAAATGGATCAGAGAACATTAGAATGGCATACATAACGTGTGAATGACACATGTAATGGTCAAAAATATATAATCACTATGTTAGTTAACTCATGACCAGACACGTCAAACTGGTACCGACAGATTTATATCTAATATGTAAAAATTCAGTATTTCTTACAACCTGAAATAGAAAACACGACTTTGGAATGAGATGTTTTAATCTGAGATGAATCTGTTAGGTAGCAGTTTACTTAAGTAGAACTTAAATCAACTTCAAAAGATTGGCCATTCGCAAAGTGAAGAAGATTTCACTTATACTGCAGTAAACAGTATGGGGATACACAACGAAACATACCACTTATGTGATAACAACTCCATGTTTATTGCATAGAGCGGCATTCCGATGTACAACGTTCAGGATAGACAAGCTGATTGAATGTTGATTGATTCCATCACTTGGACAAAGAGGTGGATTTAGACTTGTTGATCTTACTCTCCTGTTGGCCCCAACGATGTGCTAGTTTGCTGAATTACCTGGTGTTAATTTGCTGCTAGTCACTATGCATATATACTTCTGTTCACCTGGTTGTAGTAACTGTTATCTTGATAACGGCGTGAGAATATGCATGGAAACTGCCCTCTATCGAACTTTGGTCCAAACAGATGAGTTAAGAGAAATGTTGATGTCCCGTCCGTTAGCAAATTAACATTGGATTATAGAGACAATGATAGGCCTACAAATGTTGATAGAAGAGGATATTCCGGATTATGCGAATGAGAGCACACCTAATGAAAAAACGAGCCAAATATATGTATAAAGATAGTGTTTCATTTCAGTCTCAGCATATAAACATTGAAATATAAAACACATAAAAAACATAGAAGGCGTAAGCCACGAGTGGTAACGGGAGACTATATGGACAGATTTTATTTAATCAGGTTACAACATGCT